TCAACCATCAATGCAAAATATTACTGTGCTTTATTGACGAAGTTGAGGCAAAACATCAAGAAAAAACATCGAGGAAAGCTTTCCAAAGGTGTCATCCTGTTGTCTGACAATGCCTTGTCACACACTGCAGGTGAAACAATGGCAAAACTGACATCCTTAGGCTTTCAAGTGATGCCGCATCCACCCTAATCTCCCAACCTGGTTTCTTCTGACTGTTACCTGTTCCCAAAACTCAAAAAACACCTAAAGGGACAATGATTTGGGAGTGTTCTGGAGGCAACTAATGCTGCAAATGAGTAGTTACACCAGCAGTCAGAAGAATTTTTTTTTTGCAGGGACTTAAGAACGCTGCAGGACAGATGTCGCAAGTGCATTGACTTCCTGGGGGAATATGTAGAATAATGTGGCAGTTACAGCTTCCTAGCTCAATTTTTTCTGGAAAAGGCTCAGTACTTATTAGCACCCTCTCATATGTGTTGCATGTAAGTCTCTTCTGTATTGATGACAGTAGTCTTCCTTGAAAATGTCAGACGCTGATGAATCACATAGACAGGATACCAGACTGGAATGAGAGAGGCTAGCTTGTCCACTTAGTAGAAAAGTTCTTGACTTCATGTAGTCTTCAGGTCGCTTTGATTTTTTTTTTTCTCCAGTAGCTTTGAGAGCCTCTGACTTCCTCCCATAAAATGAGGGGATTTGCACATGCAAAGTATAAAAAGAGAATACCTGACAGTCACTGTGATGGCTGCAAAGAGCCCGGCCTGCATTCCAGTCCTTGAGTAGGTCTGGACAACAATGATGTTGGAATTCTGTGTGTAAATTTCTTCTGGAAACTTGAGTTCTAAACTTGCTTTTTCTAAGTATGGTTAGGTATGAAATGCCTGCTTTAGTAAAAATGTGTTTTACTGGCTTCTGGTCACAAAGTTCCCAAAGGTAGCAGCTACTTGGTTTCATTTCTTGCCTGAGAATATGAAATACTTAGGAATCCTTATGTCTTCTGCACCCATTCACAGTTTGAGATTGATCCACTGAATTATGACATTGGTGCTGTTTCATTAAACAAAGGAACTTGGGTATCATCTAGCCAGATCTCAGTAATATGCAGATCAAATACTTCCATTATTTAATAATTGAAAGGAGTGGCTAACCTTGTGCAACTAGGCATCATGACAACATGTGTCTTTGATCCTTTGATCTGCACTGTTTATGTTCAGTATTTTAAAAGATTAAATTGATCACCTAGCTAATGCAAATTCAGACACTACCAACTTTCTTGCAAGGAAGGCTGAATAGTGTTTTGTACAAATTGAGTGTCTGTATTGTATAATAAAAGAGCCATGCACGCTCAGATAGTTTGAGCACTCATGCAGGTGGACTTCTTACATGTAGTAAAGTGGTCACCATTGGTAGTAACAATGCCTACTGCTTTCTTTCCCCTCTGATTTTCTGAAGAAATCGCTGCTAGAGAAACCATCAGATCTGATGTCTCAGTCACCATCTTTCCTGTCCCTCACAGGCTTCTCTCTTAATCAGGTAACTGAAAAGGCTTTTTAATCTCTTTCTGTAGGACTAGGCTATCAATTCCTATGTTACTTTTTGCAAGGCATACAATTAATCTGTGATAGTACTGTACATACTATGTCAGGCCCAGCCTTTTGCAGATTGCCAGTGGTACTGCTGTGTTGAAATACTCCTCTTGGCAGTAATGGCAATGCATAATGTTAACAGGTCTTGCATAGTGTAAATATTTTTAAGCTGAGGTCTGTCTTTCAAACGTGGTGGTTCTTTGTATGCAGATTCATTAGAATACAGCCCAATTGTCTCTACCTACAGTCTTAAATATGTTGTGCTGTCAAGTCAAAACTGACTTATAGTGACCTTAATAGGGCTTTTAAGGTAAGTGAGATATTTAAGGAGTGGCTTTACGAATTCTACATCCTCTGTGAGTTTCCATGGCTAAGCAGGGACTTGAACTCAAGTCTCCTAAGATCTAGTCCATCACTCTAACCACTACACCACACTGGATATACACAGCCTTAAGTAGTACCCTCCAAATTCACCATCCCATAGACTGTTTGGGAGAATTACCATATTTTTTCATGTATAAGACTATACTTTTCTCTAAAAAATTTAGACTAAAAATTGAGTGTCATCTTATACACTGAAGTAAGCTGAGGAGAGTGCAAAAACAAGTGGAGGGGAAAGCAGGGATCAAATTGTTCCTGCATTGCTTTGATCCCTTCCCCCCTACCTACACTTGCTAAGCCCCACATAGATTTCTTAATTTTGGGATAGAAAAGTAGGGGGTGTCTTATACGTGGGGCATCTTATACACAGAAAAATACGGTAGGTCAAATGCTGCATGTATGTTGGCATGTAGCCGCCCAGAGTGGTAGAATATACCAGATGGGCGGGATATAAATCGAATAAATAAATAAATATAAATAAATAAATGCAAGAGTGGTGGTACACCTGTGCACCTTGCTCTAGGTAGAAGGGCTCCCCTCCCCAATGTACATAGCACTAACCCAATCTGTCTTGCTAATCACATCAGTAGCCATTATACCTCTTGCTGATATACTAGCTCTGTTCTACTGCATATTTTCCTTTAACCTGTAAAATATGGTGTTTCTGACAGCTTTAATAATGCTTTGAAATGAAATACATACATTTATGTGTCTGGCAATATCATAGTACATTCACTGTATGATTTCTGTTTTTATTGCAGTTTATATTTTTCTCATTCATGAATTTGTTATATTTGCAGTTTTATATATATGCAGTTATTTTTATCTCATCTCTCACAACTGCTTGCCTAACCTGGTGCCCAAATGGATAGATAATCTTTGTATGCTAAACTACTTGTGCTGACACTACTCTGTGCCAATGCCCATGAAGCAGAATGCAATAAATGGGGCACACATGGCCCCCAGGGTCATATTTTGCATGCATACATCCCAGTGATTCCTACAGTTGTACTGCAAAATGGCAATGGAAAATCTGAAGGGGCTTTAAAGCTAGCAGAAAATGGTGGCTGCAGCTTTTGGTCAATTGCAGGGGAGAGGGGATTGCCCTTTTGACCTTCAAAGGTTTCCAGCAACCCCTTCTGTACAAGGAAGAGCAATATTCACTTAGTATCCAATAGCTACAGCATTGGAAATGTAGTGAGGTTCTCCCTGCCAGCAGGGATCACTTGAAAGAAGTACCGCTGGGACACTGAATTGTGCAAAGATGCATCAGATACCCTCTTGTGGCTTACTTAGAGGCTTACAGACATCTAGCTGTCTTCTAATTTCCATTTCTTTTTGGCATATAGAAGTTCCGTCTTCACACATGGCTTTGGAGTTACTGGAATAGGAATGTTGGGCTTAGACCAGGGATACTTGGATTTAAAATCTATTCATTCAGACATGATGTTCACTGAGTGAGAATCACTCTATGTCATAATTTCTATATAACTGCAAGTTAATTGTATCTTATAATCAGAGGGAATGGGAAATTGTTTTAGATAGGTAAATAAAACTTTATTACGGTCAAAGACCAGCAACAATTTTTTTTACTCTGAATTTTTTGATGAAAGGAAGTTGAGGTTGAGATAGGAGAATGTAATAAAATACAGAAGAAGGTCTGAGTATTAAACATTGGTTTCTGTGCTCTTTTAGCTGCTACCTTCTCACATGGTTTTGACAGTTTTGTTCTAAGAGCTCTAACTTCTATAGGAAGGTGCAGATCGGGCAATAGGCACAGTGAGGCCCTCACATGCTGTTGGACTGGCACTTTTTACCATTGACTGTGCTGGCTAGGATTGATATGCATTGCTGCCCAACAGTATCTAGAGGCAATCACTTGCCAGCTGAAGTAAATGTTTTCTCATTCAGACTCTGGAACCAGATGAACACAAATAAAACTGACTTGACCCACCAATGCTGTGTTTCAAAACAGGTTTGAAATTTAATCTCTTTGCCCCTTGATCTTACAGGAAAGGTATCCAAACAGCATGTTCAATGAAGTTTATGGGAAAAACCTCAACGCCAGCACAAAAACAGAGGTCACTCCATCAGTGGGCCACCAGGAGACTTCACTCTACTCTCTCTTTGAAGGTACTCCATGGTCTCCATCTCTTCCAGCCAGTTCAGGTAATAACTCTTTTCTCATGGCATAGTTATACAGTGACCCTATATGAGCTTTGATCCAGATTATGAATTAAGAACACAGATTGACTTTCCAAGTATGTAGTTGTGGTACCATGTTCAAGACCTGCTTGTTTGCTTTTCACATGTTGACTCCTGTGCTCTCCAGGAGTGATAGCTGTAATTCTGGTTTGTTAATTCCCGCTTCATACCAAACCACAGTTAATCTTTGTTAAGGATTGTTTGCTGTGATACTTGAATTGCCAAACCATTATTTTGGTTATCACTCTTCTGACAGAGACAGAGACATTAATTGATTACTCTATTGAGCCATAGTGAGCAGAGTTTTTGTTTTTAATGTATAGAAGTAATCTGTGAAGCTAAGTGGCATGAGTTCTTACACTTGCAGAGAGTAATATTTGCATTTTTTAACATTAAATGTTTCCAAATGGATACTTGTAGACCATCTCAAGACAGAAAAATGTAACTAAAATAGTTCCTTGGGGAATAGTTCTATCCCAAGAGCAGATGGTTTAAAAAAAAACTGTTGTGACACAGGAACAGTGGAGGCAGAAATTGAATCAGTAGGCGATTCCCTGGTACAGTCATGCCCTGCTTTATGATTACCCTGTTTAATGACGAATCCGCTTGACGGTGAGGTTTTTGCGATTGCTTTTGCAATCACAAAACAATGGTTTGAATGGGGTTTTCCAGCTTTGCGATGATCGGTTCCCTGCTTCGGGAACCGATGTTCGCTTTACGACGATCAAAACAGCTGATCGTCGGGTTTTCAAAATGGCCACCGGGTGTAAAAATGGCTCCCCGCTGTATTTAGGAGCCATTTTTCACTTTACAGGCACCCGAAAATGGCCGCCCCTGTGGAGGATCTTCGCTGGACGGTGAGTTTTCAGCCCATTGGAACACATTGAGGGGTTTTCAATGCGTTTCAATGGGTTTTTAAGTTTCGTTTGACGATGTTTTTGCTCTACAGCGATTTCGCTGGAACGAATTAATGTCGTCAAGCGAGGCACCACTGTATAATGTAATTGATTGCTTCAGAGAGGAAAATTTGATTCCTACCCAAATTATTCCTCATAATTGATATTATTGAGAAGTTAACTGTGGTTCAGGGGGGGGTGTCCATTTCATTGTTGACTTGAATGGCCCCTTCCCATATTAGAATTTTTACCAACATTCTCACTTTGAGTTAGCTTCCATTTTCTATGTGCAAATTGTGATTTGGTCTGTGTTGGCATCTCTTTCAGTATCAATGCAGACGTCTTTATATTGATTAACTACTCTTAGCTACTACTTCAGTACCTGTTATCCTACAGATCTGACATAACCACAATATTTTGGATGATACCTTCAGCAAACACCTTTCCACTTTTTCATGCAGCATTCTAGGCCACCTCCATAGGATTGAAGGACACTTCTTTTATATGCTTCCATCTTTCTTTAACAGCAGAGGTTCCTTCAGTTCAGAAACATCATAGGGTTTCCGGTGTAGACTTCCATTCTTTGGACTCATAGTCATCTTTAAGCTTTCAATAAATATATTATCACTATCTTCCCGTGTGTGGATGACTGACTTCTGCTAATGTGGTATACTGGCATTTTTTTACTCCTATTTTGTACTTCCATGTGTTTGCATTTTCCCTTTTGGATACTTTGATGCTGGTACAGAAGTCTCTCAGCCCATCGAACAAATCTAGTTCATATGAGCAGTTTTGAATTCCTGCATAGCTTGCTCTTGGGACAGAACTATCCATTTGAATGGACTGGATGTTCTGGTGGATGTGGGTTGTATCTTATGTCTCCAGTAAGATGAATTCATAGATCAGCTATGAAATTATGTTGAAATGGTTTCCAGCACTCAATTTAAATTAGGATTTGACTCTTCTAGTATTTTTCCCTGACACACAGAACAATGCTTAGGACACAATGGACTTCCGCAAGCTACTAACCTACTGATGTCACTTCACAAGGATTGTGACTGCTTCATCTGTGGCTATCTTCAGATTACACAGCATGTTTCTCCACAATTCTTAACGTGAAGTAACTGAATTGGATACCACTGAGCTCAGGTTTAAGATAGCTATTTCCTTGCTGCTCCATTCCATTCTCTGCCAGAATTAGCCACTTCTTTGCCTTCTCCAGAGGAGCCTGATCTTGGACTTTTAGAACAGCTATTTGAACTTGCGCTTTCACTTTTGTGTTAATCCCCATGTGTTACAGTCATTGCTAAAAAGGACTGGCCAGCATTTTTACCTTTGCATCAGGCAGCTGCAGTGTATGATGTGGAAGGTTTCACTGCTGCAGAACAAAGTGCACACAGTATCATATTTCAATCAGAAAACAAAGCTGTGCAATTGAAGCCTTTAGTCATGGACATTCTAGTAACCCTGTGGGGGCAGGACTGAACTTTCGGATTGGCTTGAAAGTTCATGCCAATCTTAGTCCCTTTCTACAAATCAAAAGTGCCATGTTCCGGTACCCAAGGGTAGACCTCATCAATGGCCAAAACAAGGTTTTCCACCTCCTTTTTTGTGGCAGAATGTCCGTTTTCCATCAGGAGATGAAAGAGGTTGTTGCAATGTTGTTGCTGTTGTGAGGACAATTAGGAGCCCATACTGTGTGTTCTTACTTGACCGATACAACTCACCCGGGATCCGAAGATGCGTACGTGCGCTGGAGCTCTTGCCGAGCATGGATGAGAACGAAAAAACCTTTTCGTCGGTCGTTGAAACCCTGCATTACTCGGGGCACCACTTGTGGGAACTGCTGCTGGAGAGCCTGCCCCAACCGCGGTTGTAAAAGGGAGAGATCTCTGATAAGAAATACCCTGCAATCTTTCATTTAGTTACAAAGCATGCCACCGGTGATCACCAAGAAAATGTTTCCCTAGCTACGCCCAGGGCACCTCTATTTATTAAATAAGCATATTTGCATAAAATAAGCTTTTGCCCAAACAGGCGTTGAGTGATTATTAGTTTCAAGGCATTCTACACTTGCGCAGAGAAGAAATAACAGAACAATACATGATTATGCCAAGCACCACTGGTGCATCCCTTTACAGCCACAAGATAGAGCTCTAAAACTAAAAAAAATCCCACACCCATGCATAGAATGCAAGGAAACATTCCTATCCTTTTTCAGTAGAGCTATTGCTGACACATTATTTTCCTGGTCCAATTTGCACATGCCTCCAGGTATGTCAGTTTGCTAGTCTTACACATACATGCCTGCACAGAGATACCATGAAGAACAAAAACAATTTTTTAACTTACATTCTTCAAGTGATTATCTGTGCAGCCACACAACCTACTGTTTCCTCTTCTGCTGCAAGGCTCATTTCTTTGACTTGTTCCACTTTCCGAGAGAGTTGAACAAGATGGCATATACCCTTTATACTATGGCATTAGTATATTTTCCCTCTTTTAAGTGGGGTGGCAGATTATAAGTTTCAAGTGTTAACACTTTAGCTCTACAACATGCCAAAGGCACAGGTCTTTTAGGGAGGGGGTCTGGCTGCACAGAAGACCACTTAGGGAGAATAATGAGATATAGGTATGCAGCCTGCCTCCCCCTCCCCACCCCCTAGCATTTAGAACACATAAGTGTGCTATTCTACCATCCCACATGCACCGATTCCAGCTTTGCTATCCTGTCTGTTACTTTGGTTCTGTTTTCTATTAGCAACATTTCTTGGAGATCAAGTCAAAAGGGAATTTTAGAAAGAGACAGGACATTGTGTTGACTTTATTCTTCAACATTTTGCCCAACAGATCATTCAACGCCAGCCAGCCAATCTCCTCATTCATCCAACCCAAGCAGCTTGCCAAGCTCGCCTCCAACTCACAATCACAATTCAGTTCCATTCTCCAACTTTGGGCCCATTGGGACACCGGACAACAGAGAGCGTAGAGTAGCAGATCGATGGAAGACAGATAAGCCAGGTGAGTGGAGGAATGTTCCAGCATGAGATGTATAATTCTAGTAGTTTCTCAGGTCACTCACTTGTTGTCTTGTCTTTGTTTCAGCAATGGGAGGATTTGGCTTAGACTATCTTCCAGCAACATCTTCCTCCTCAGAGAGTAGCTGGCACCCAACTGGTACTCCCAGTGGCACTTGGTCAGCCCATGGCCCATCCATAGAGGATTCGTCAGCTGTGCTTATGGAAAGTCTGAAGGTAGGATATGCATGAGGATGCAGAGGCAAAAAGCATGGTGTGCATTATTTTGAAAGATTTCATCTATCCATCTTACCCTTGTTACAACAAAACTCTCTAAGACGAACAGTATGTCGTAAAAGAGACTATTGTTGCAGAGGGAACTCTACCTAATTGAATATATTTTAACATAGAATAATGGAGTTGAAAGGAGCCTATAAGGCGATTGAATCAACCCCCTACTCAGTGCAGGAATCTAAATCAAAGCAGATCGGACAAACTGTTGTCTAATTCTCTTTTTAGTGCCTCCAGTGTTGAAGTGCTCACTATCTTCTGAGATAATTGGTTCCATTGCCATACTGCTTTAACAGTTAAGAATTTGTTCCTAATATTCAGCCTAAATCTGGCTTCCTGTAGCTTGAGCCTTTTATTTTGTGTCTGGCACTCTGGAGTGATCAAGAACATTTCTTCTCCCTGGGTATTAAATTCTTATTATTATTATTTACATTTATATCCTGCTCAAATGTGTTTTAAATTCTTATTACTATTGTTATTTACATTTATATTCTTCCTTAAGATGGTTTGTGATAAATATAATTACTGTACAATGGTTCAATAATAATAAGACTTAAGTAAGCAAGACAAGAAAACCATTAAAACCAATAAATCTGCAAACAAGTATATCATTACGATAAGTGAAACACTGTCAGAAGCCAGTTTTAAAAGGCATGTTCTTCATAGTGTCCATGTATGCATACAAATGTTGTTTGCACCTGCGCAAAAGTGCAAAAGTTCCAGAGTCTCAATAGCGAAAGCATGTTTGCCTCCACTGCACAAGCACAGCCCCTTTCTCCTCAGTCCATTTTTGGGAGCCTCTTCACACTTACCTTACTGATAGGTCTTTGACTTCATTTTTATTCCCCTCCTTTACCTCTTAGCTAAAAAGAGAAAGAGGGAGAGAAATTGTTTAAAAAGGAAATTATTTATTTTCCCCTTTGGGTTCCCCCCCTCAGCTCCTCCCATCCCTCATTTATGGCTTCTGCCTTTATGAAAAAATGTGTCACTTCTGGCAAAAAGATCCCTCAGTCAGATGGACACAATATCTGCCTGTTTTGCTTGGGGGAAATTCACCTTGTCCAATCTTGTAAAATCTGCAAGAGCTTCACAGCTCTGACTTTGAAAAATCATTAGTCTTGCTTGCGTTCTTTCCTTTGGGAAAAATCCCTTCAGGCAACTGACCCTACTCTGGGACTGGAACCAGAACTTCCAGCCATCAAGATGATGGATTGTGCACCACCAGACCAGTCCTCAGCACCAGAACTTTCAGCCCCTTTGACCTCAAAACTGTCTTCGAAATCCACCAAGAAGTCAGACAGTAACCAGCGTCCTCTGATACTGAAGCTGCCAAAGGAAAGAAAAAGAAACAGACAGTTGATACCAAGCTCCTTGTTGATACCTTGGACTCTCAACTGACTGTCCAAGAGCCAGTGTCTGCTATTACTACTGATGCTCAATATATAGTCTCAGTCTCAGAAGGTGAATATCGTAGCCCTTCTGTGCAGAGTGTTCCATTTGTCTCCAAGAGGTACCTCTACCTGGATTTCTCAGTGAGAGCCATCACTTCCTTCTTGTGTGTCCGAGGATGGACGATGATCTAGGTCAGACCCCTGACCCAAACATCACCTGAGTCTCAACATCATGGTCGAACCCAGCAGAGTTAGAGATCATAATCAACTACACAAACTCAACATCAACACCATCAACATCCTTGCTACTTGAGACCTCCTTTGGTGGACTCTCGATATTGAGACAACCCATATCATGCTCCCTTTTTCTATCCTTCCCATTTCCTATACAGGGACAGGGACTGGCCATCACCACGCCGTCAGAGTTGTCGCAGATCTCGAGATCTCCATGCCCAGACCAGGATCCGCTTTCACTACACCCATGACTGTGGCTCTAGGGCAGTGACGGTGAACCTTTTTAGGCCTAACTGCACAAACTGGGGTGGGGGGGGAATGGCAGGCAGAAACAGAAGTGGTAGCGAAAGGGGGAATCCTGGGCACGGAGGTGCCTCAAGACTCCACTCCAGATCCACCACCAGCGCCAGCTATGTTTATGCCACAACGTTTCTGCCCTCAGTGGAAATGTCCTCTACCATCTACCTCTTATAATTCACCATCTGAGAGATCAAAGACATCAGAATGGGCAGAGGCCTAGCCAAATCTCCACCTCTGCCAGATACAAGCAAATAACCTTCACCAAAAAGACAGAGAGAAAATCTAAGTCACAGTTTTGACAAGCTGCAGTCCAACCTTGACATTCCTTCTTCTGTCATGATTCCACCCACACACATCTTAGTGCTCTTCCTTCACACCTAGCACACCATCACCTCAGACACCTGGGTACTCAACATCATTACCCATGGATATGCAATTCTAGTCCTTCTATCTGTTAGCCTGTGATGACAAAACAGACTCTTCCCACATCAATAAATAAGGTGGCACCAGATTCCCAAGCCTCCTATAGCTCTCTGGTCTCCTTTGGGAGTAGTGCATCACCCATCACATCATCCCAATAGCAACTCATGTTTCTGGCATAGACAACAAGACAGCGAATCACCTTGACCGAACAGTGGCTCAGATACATGAATGGCAACTATCCCACATTGTTTAAAACCAGCTCACTTGCCTCAGTAGATATTTTTGCCACTGCCAACAACTCTAAATGTGTGAACTACTGCTCTCATGCAGGCAAAGACTGACATTTTCTGGGGATGAATTTACCACCAACCGGACCAAACACCTATCGTACATGTTCCCTCCCTTTGCACACATCCAGTGCACACTAGTGAGAATCGTTCATGACAACTTCAATGTCATCCTCATCACTCCTTGATGACCTCACCAACAGTAGTTCATGACCTTCCTCCTCACTGTTTCTGACAAAATCCACCTGCCCCAGCACACAACCTTCTCTTTCAGCACAGAGGAACGGTACTCCATCTAAGTACTCCATCTAGGAAACTCACACCCTGCAGGATATTCCCTTTCTTGTCAACATCCTGAAATAGGCAAGGCATCCTTCCATGAATCACCTTTATGGCTACAAATGGAAAAAGTTCCAATTTTATGCATCCTTCCATCCCCTCTTAGCCTTCCCAGCCTCTCTATCATCCTGGCCTTTCTTCTGGACCTTAAGCAACAGGGCCTTTGTAACTCTTTCATAAGGGTTTTCCTTCTGGCAGTTGTAGCACACCAGCCTGCTGGCCACTCCTCCACCCACCTTTTTACCCATCCAACAATCAAGAAGCTCCTGAAAAGTCTTCAGAATGCCTACCCTGGTGTAAAGCTTCCCCAAGACCCTTTGTCACTTCTCATCTTGTCTCAGCTCACCAGACACCATTTTGAACCACTAGCAACTATTGGCATTCATCTCCTGACTCTCAAGATGGCTCTTCTGGTAGCTCTCACATCTGCAAACCGAGCAGTTGAACTCATAGCTCTTCGCTGTGACCCTCCTTACCTTGTTTTCTCCCATGACAAAGTTACCCTTCACACGGACATCTCTTTTTTGCCCATAGTGACTTCTTGTTTTCATATGTCATAACCTATAGTTCTACCTACCTTTTATCCTTCACCACAAAATGATGAAGTGCTCCACTCTCTGGACGTTGGGAGATCTTTGGCCTTCTACCTGTTTGGATAGATCCAAACAAACTGCACCAGAGCACAGACAGAGTTCTGATTCCTGTCCTATGAAGATGCCAGCCACAGAGAACAGCCTTCAGAACACGCCCTGAGAGCTCGAAAAACCCACAACAACCATCAGATCCCAGCCGTAAAAGCCTTCGAGAATACAAAGTGGAACTAGTTTGTAGCTGTGAGAGAAGCACATTCCAGAATCTGAGAGCTGTGCAAGAGAAAACCCTCTTCCTTATGTCTATCAGGAAAGTATCTGCAGCAGTTGGGATTCTAAGGAGGGCCTTTCTTGAAGACCTTTACATCCAGAGAGGTTCATAACAAGACAGATAACTAGGGTCCAAGAGACCTTTGAGGGGATACCAGATACCAAATGCCAGGATGTCAAAGTGCCCCCCAACATCACCTTTTGAGTTCATCCTTACAGGAGGGGTTAGAACTGCTGTAATACATGCCTTCTGACCCAGTCAAGCCTGGCAGTCCAATAAAATGGTATGATCATTGATACCAACAATCACATTCTAGCAGGTACAGGAAGATTAGCAAGGTTATACTCCCCTTAGCTAAGGCCTGGTGTAGGTTGTCTACCAAAGCAACCAAAGTAATCTTAGCCCCAGCCAGTGCTTGAAGCACTATGGGGCGGTATATAAGCAGCACGCTTTGCTTTTTGCTTTACAGATAATCAGAATAATCCAGGAATATTTGGAGTTGTAGCACTACTATCAACTAGCTTAGATTTCAGACTAGCTTCTAATTCATCAGAATTTCTAGGTCAATGGCAAGGTACTTTTTATCAGAAGTTTTATATTATAGGACCCTGTATCTGTAGTTTCACTTCTCTGTGGTTTTTTGCTGCCCTATATACACCATACAAGGAAGTGAGACAAAGGTCACAAAGGGGTGCCCTTTTATGTTGTACCTACAGTTTCAGGCATACAGGATAGATTGTGGAACCAATCCCCTGTGGGTACAGAGCTCCTACTTCCTACTGCAAAGGCTTCCTTTAACCTGGAAGGGACAGCCCCATCCCTTAAAGAATGTTTGCCACATCCCTTAACCGTGGCACCAGTCTCACCTTGGCAGATTTCATTAGCTACAAGAGGCAGTAGTCAAGTAAACAGGTGGCAGACCTTACCATGCCAAATAACACTGCCTTAGCTAAAATTGATATTTCAGAGTACCTGTTCTGAACTGAGCAAGGTTTGAAGAGCCAATAACATTGCTCCTCCCTACTATTCCCTTCCATATAATTTGCTTGCTTGCTTTTCACATAGTTTCCCTATAGGGTAAGGAGCAACCGAAAATTACCCTTATCAGATAGCTTTGTTGCTCATGTTGGCAGACAGAAGGTTGAGGCCAGAGTCTCTTGTCTCTTATCCTGTAAAGTAAGTGTGGGGAACCACAGACCTTGGGCTGAATATAGACTTTCTGTGGTCTTAGTCCAACTTTCTTCCCATGACACATTTGTTTGATGGTTTCCCCACTTCTATATAGTTCTTCTTAACAGTTGAAATGTTTCTCTTAAGGTTTAGTTATTGACCAAAAGCTATAAACTAAAATATCTTTCGCCCCATCCATCATTCAGTGTGCCCCACCCTGACCCAAGAATTTGGGGCCTTTAGGCTGGCGTAGGTTTCCTCCCTGTAGTATAAAGAAATTGTTGTAAAGGGACAGGGTCTGATGAAAGTGTCTCATGTTTAAGCAGCAAGGATGGGTTGGAGAGGCTGTTACTATGTGTGAGAGAAAGTAGCTCAGGTGCTATGAAATGGCAGGAAATCAGTTGCCTTCTATTTACATTAAAATAGAAATGAGAGAGACAGATGTATGGGGCAAAAAGGCTGCTTGGGAATTTCTTAGGTATTCTGAGTCTGTTTTCTTTCACATTACTGACTTCTTGTGTTTGTTTGTTTGTTTGTTTTGTTACTAGTCTATCTGGTCCAGTTCCATGATGCACCCTGGACCTTCTGCCCTGGAGCAGCTGTTGATGCAGCAGAAGCAGAAGCAGCAACGTGGGCAAGGTGCCATGAATCCACCACACTGAGAATGAAAGAAGGTGGCAACCTTTGCAACCAAAAGCTCCATACATTATGGCATGTTGGGTTTGCAGGACTGTCCCACACAGTCCTGTGAGTGTGGCAGCCCTCTCTTCTGTTCCTTGCTGTCAGGAGGGCGTAAGTGCTCCACCAACCCACTGAGTGTGCACGAAAATGTCTGCAGTGCAATGGAAAACCAACACCAGGAACTCTCCCGTCCCTCCAGGGCCCTCTGGAGGGAGAGAGGGACTGCTGTTTGTCTCACGGTAACCTGATATCACCGCCTCTCACCTTCTCCATCGTGCATGTCCCCAGCCACGTGGGAAAATAAAAAGCTGAGAATGAAGAGCAGATGGGAGAAGCCACTGAGAACTTCTCGATCCTTCTCAATCTTGGGGAAACTAATAGGAATCTATTACGGATAGCTTTGCTGACTGAGAATATAGTTGAAATTTATTCCTCAACATCTAAATTTCTAATTATTACTCTCTCAGTAGTGAGGTCACACTGAATTCTTCCATACACAGATGTTCTTTCTAGTCAGTGTGTAGCAAGCCCTCCAGTTACTGGTCCAGCCAGAGGTGGGTGGTGGTAGATTAGGTGGCGGGCTATTTTTTTAAAAAATTCTCCTGGGTTAGATGAGGTGTTTTCTTGAAGGAGAATCTGGCCCCTCCAGCACCACTTTCACCTGTTCCTCAGAGGCGATCTCGGTAGAAGCCGGGACACGGGAGAGATTCCAGTACTGAAGTGCAGTAGCCACTGCAGGGTCCCCATTAGGGCAAACAAGCCACTGCTGTGGGGTTTTAAGTTAAATGGTTCAGATTCCTGTACATTTTATGATAGCGTAGTGACCAGCCTCATGAAATGGCAAGCTGGTCTGTGCATTCACAGCCTGACTCTTTTATGTAGGTAGGTAGAAGCTTTCTGTGTCTTTTTTCCCCTCACCCCCTTTTCTTCCCTCCCCTCTCCTTGCTGGTTGCTAGTAGTTCTATTCTTCATATACAGCATCCCATAGAGTTCTAGTGGAATAATGAGGGGCAAAGGAAGTAGTCTGGACAGGATAATGTGTGCCGTCCCCCTCCCCAGTAGTAGGTGTACTCCCCCCGGCTCGCACACACTTGTAGCCGCCAAGTTCCAGTTCTGGAATGGGAGGTTCACGGCCACAGGGGACACATGATGACACGGAGCCCGCATGCAGAAGCCAATCGTTCCTCTTGCTCCCAGCAGAGTGCAGAATGGAGTCAAGGGTTCCTCTTTATATTTATTGAGCAGAAGGAAGATGGCAACTCTTCTCCTCACATAGGACAAAAGGACAGGATTTCTTCTAGTTTCCCAGGGTAGCTATGGAAATAATCTCAATGTTATAAACTGCTGCAGTTGCAGGCGTGTGTGTGTGTGTGTGTCAGTTCAGGATCTGTCAGCTGGGAAATGGCTACAGAGAAAAGCACATCCAGGGTTCACACGTGACACTGGAGACGGGGAGCAGCCCCAAATAGACTTTATAAAGGGAAGATGTACACATAGTGATCTCTATAGAATAGGAATTGGACCCTGTATGCCTCCCCAAGCTAGCAGTGTCGCTGCTAAAACATGTTCCTCTTAAAATAAAATAAAATAAATAAAATAAAATAAAAAAGGAGTCTCGAAGAAGAAGTTCCTGCCCTGGTTGTAATGTTAAGCTAAGACCCTCTGTGCTTCTTTGGTTCCCGGCCCCCACTTCCCTCCCGCCCCTTTCTCCTAGTTTGTGTATTTGAGCTGTGCACCCAAGCAGCTGCAACATTCCAGTGTTTGAAATGCCACTGATTCTTGCACCCCTAGACGACCTAACCAGGTTCACCATCTCACTCTCTCAGCAGGGCCAGAGTCCCAGCCCATAGGCTCCCATTTCTGCATGAGAAATCTGGTGTTTGGAATTTTTTTTTCCCCTGAATTTTTGGGCAGGCTCTCCCCTCCATACACTCCTTTCCCTTCTCTACTATGTCAGGAGCCTCAAGGGAATGGGAGCCCCCAGCAGAGAAAAATGGTTTGTGTCGTAAGCTTCTTTTGTGTTTTTGTCTGTCTGTGCGAGACCTGCAGCTGCTGAACTCAGCTTTGCCTTTAATTAAACCATGTTCTCTACAGCCAGCTTTGTGTAGTAGCATTTTCTTTAATCGTGGAGCTATACTTAAGGAAACTATGGATTTTGTTTCTTTTCACAAAAGGAGATCCAAAGTAATTCCTTTGTTGGAATTGACAGGTATAATTCATACAAGTAATGATGCAAACTGAATATACAAGTAACAACGAAACATGGTAGACTAGATTGTAGCTTCAGTGCCAAGCCATAACCACCTGCTGTGATTTTTTTTAATCATTTCAATTAAAGGTTATGATGGGAGAGTTCATGATCACAAAGAGAGGTATGCAGAGCACTAAGACATGGTCTGTGCTCTACATACCCCACCCAACACTCTGTTTTCTCTTCCCTTGACCTAGTGCTTTCCCCCCACACTTTTTTCCATCCTATTTTTTCGCAGTGCTCCATGCTCATTCTCAGTACTTGCATTCATGTAGAGAGTGAGTTCCGTATTTAGAGAACTGCGGATATTAAGCTCACAGTTACATTCATCCAGGTGTTACAGTTTTAAAACCCAGCATTTTTCAGCCCGCATTGTTTGGGTTTGTGTCATGACATAATCACATACATCAATTTTTTTTTTGAAATATTTCTTATGGTACATGTTTATTATGGTGTGTTAAAATAGTTGATAATAGCCTGGTGGGCAGCAGAAGAACTACTTAGTTTGTATCCAACTGGAAAAGTTCGCATAATATGTTTGACATGCTCAACAGAAAAGTCACCAAATGCTTATGATCAGATGTTACTAAAAGCTAATAATCAGTGTTCCATTGGTTGCTTGTGGGGAGCCAGATTCAACCAGAGAATTTAAGTTAGGAAATCAGTAGCATTTGTGCAGAATTTCAGAGAAGTATCCATGTTAGTGTCTCAGCATATTGGCAAAAGGAAAAGAAAGAGCGGGGGGTGGGGTGGAATGGCATTTTTATCTGTTATCTGTCTTCTCGCGTGATTATGGGGATATATGTTAATATAGAGAGTATGGTGCTTGCATTCCTTGTTTCTAAAGAAGTAGATTTTCATCCAGAAAAGCTTACATTGAAATGAAACACTTGATCTTCAAAGTGATACAGTATTTTGGCTCTTCCCCCTTTCTTTTGCCAACATGTGCAAAATTTTGTTGTTCTTCACATTTCAGAGATCTTTTGGACTAACAAACTGATAAATATTGATAACTTCCATGGAATGCAGTCCAATTCCACCAATGGAGGAAGTAGGCTGCAGCCCAGAAAAGCTTATGCCAGATCAAACTCATTAATGCAAGAAGACTGGCCAGAATCCTTTTAGTGGTTGTTTCAGGTTTGCCTCAATTCTTGTGGCTAATGGATTTTGTGCCTAGTCTGTATAACCAAGATTTGCCCTGGCACCTCATCACTCAGCTGCTGCAAATTGCAAAAACCTTCTGCAAACGCCAGTAGGATTCCAGCTATAGTTGTTTTCAAAAATGGCAGTTTATACAGTAATTAATGAAGCTGCATGTTTTTGGGTAGGCGGGAGAAGAAGCACGAGCTTTCAAAAGGCGGTTTTCATGTTTCTAAAACCCAGCAGAACAACTGAACTAGTTAATGGATTATCTTCACTTGCTGGAAACTGAAGTCTGTCTTACTTGCATTTTGCTGGTATTTTTAAGCAGTTCTTAGTTTGCAACCAAGAGGTCAAATTTGCACCTTTTAAAGCATCTTGGTGAATTTCCTGCTCCTTTTGGCCCATTTGCCCCTCTTCTGTGGTTGTTGTGCAGTACATTTGGAGTTGTTCATATCAGAACAGATTGGGGAAGTCCAGGATGGCATCTTATTGATAACTGAAATGTATGTATACATTCTCTGGGCTGTCATATGATAAATCTGTGGAATGCTTCCTAAGTTCACATTTTCCCAAAGATAACAAAAAGAGATGCATAACTCTGCCACTACAGTTGAGTGGACACAAAAGGATTAGCTGAACAGTTATTGTATAAGATTGAGCTGGCTCATGTTGTAGCCAAGGAAATCCAGTGTGGATCTAATGAAAGCAGAATATAATGTCTCTAGAACACATCCCTGATGTTTCATTTAGCCGAAATAGACATTTGAGTGTAATGAACTGATTGTCTTGAAAAAAAGCATCAGCATCCCTTCAGTTGTTTGAGGCTTCATCTTGTTACACTTTGGGTTGAGGATCTTTGCTATTTTATTCTTCAACAAAAGCTTTGGGGAAAATGCCTACTTTCCCATTGCACTTGCCCTCCAACCATTCATCATTCACTAGAAGATAAAATAATATTAGCATCAATTTTAAATATCTGTTGATGGCGAGAATCAGTCAAAGATTGTGCTGTGGACTGTAAAATATTGCTAAGGAACAGTTGCAGCTGTAAGTGTCGTGTGATGTAATCAAGCAAGGGTCTCCTATGATTCGTCTTGCCACTGTTTGGAAGAAAGGATTTTGGGAAGTACCACTTCTTTTTTAAAAAATCCCCTGCACTGTAAGTTCTGCTTACTGAAGTCCTTCCTGCTACACACATACTAAAAGTCAAAAGTAAAGAAGTGTGTTGGATCTTTGCACACCTGAAGAGGAATGGAGTGCAGCAAGTGGTGGTAAAGTTCCTTTTGGGAAAGACCAAACAACACTATTAACAGACTAACCATCTTTGTCCATTAACACTGTGGCAACTTCAGGGTTTGATACTGCGCTCTCTCAGTGCTGATTATTTCTAGGGAGGAAGTTACTGGCCCCTGAAGCTGTGCTGCTGAACATACTATAGTGGATTCAGTGGAGGTCACTTTGTCTCTTTCAGTGCCAATCCTATATACAAGGGGGGAAATGGGAGTTAAAATGATGTATTGGGGGGGGTTTCTGTTAAATGCAACCTAAGTACACCAGCAGCATTAATGGCAAGAAAGTTTCCAGAGAGGGAAAATGAGTGGGGATCCTTGGATTAAAAGTTATAAGGAAGGTGGAGAAGGATGTGAAGGGACAAATGTATGTAAACATAATGGAAAACATAGCCAGATGATCTTCTCTCCCCTGCACTTTGGGCTAAATCCATTTATTAGCTCCACTAGAATATCACCCTTGAATCAATGGGCCTTTGGTAAGTCATTCCTGTAAGTCCCATTGATCTACTGGGTTACCTGTAGCTAGAACTAACAACTAGGTTTTCAAAGAGCTGCAGCGAGTGCCCTTGATCTGACCTGTCGCTCTAGCTTTTCTATGAGTGGGGAATATGATGGCATGCAAAGTTACCAAAGTGGAGAGGGAGATTCTTCCAGGGTCTTCTGCCAAAGAACAGCAGTGTACCTTCACTTGCTTCAAAGCTACGAAACTAAGCAAGTTTAGAGTTATGAAATTGAAGTAACAGGCATATCTTGACCTGGAACAGGAGGTACACTGAATGATGAAATACTGAGTATGTTATGCCTCCAGCTGATAAGGATGTTTTTTAGGCATATCTTGACCTGGAACAGGAGGTGCACTGAATGATGAAATACTGAGTGTGTTATGCCTCCAGCTGATAAGGATGTTTTGGCATGATCTCTGCACTGTATCTGAGATCCAGAAAGGTGGTACGTTCACGTAGGATGCGTTCCCCAAAAAGACACTTCTGCTTAGCCATTACCCTATGGTATGTTCATCCCCTTCTGCCTACCTAGGCCACCATTAAGAGCTATGCATTACTCTTAATGGTCCCTCAGCATTCTTGGCAGAATGATTATAAGGTACAAAAGCAGGACCTAAGAGTTTTTGTCAATATTTGGCAAAAGCTAAAATCTCTTTTTCCAAAGAAGGTGAACAAATACCTGGTAAGCCAATTGCTTACCGAGTCAATGATGGTTTACCAAACTGCAAAATGCAGCTGAATTGTGAAATATGCTGAAAATGTCAAGGTGACAAAGCTATGAAATCTCGAACAAAAATATTGGAAGTATTCAGTCATGTGAAAAAAAAAGTATGCCCTCTTTGAATTCTGTGGTTTTACACATCAGGACATAATAAAAATCATCTGGTCCTTAGCAAGTCTGGAAATTAGGTAAACACAACCTCAGATGAACAACAACACATGACATACTACATTGTGTCATTTTTTATTTTACAAAAATAAAGCGAAAATGGAGAAGCCATGTGCGAAAAACTAACTACACTTTATGACTGAATAACTTGTAGAACCGTGTTAAGCAGCAATAACTTGAAGCATTCATTTTCTGTGTGACTTTTTCATATTTGTGGAGGAATTTTGCTCACTCTTCTTTACAACATTACTTCATTGAGGTTCACGGGCATTTGTTTATGCACAGCTCTTGCAAGGTCCTGCCACAGCATTTCAGTCTTATTGAGGTCTGGACTTTGAATTGGCCATTGCAACATCTTGATTCTTTTCTGTTTCAGCCATTCTGCTATAGATTTTCTGGTGTGCTTAAGATCCTTGTCCTGTTCCATGACCAATTTCAGCCAAGCTTTAGCTGTTGGACAGATGGCTTCAGTTTTGATTCTAGAATACTTTGGTATACATAGGAGTTCATGGTCAACTCAATGACTGCAAGGTGCCCAGGTCCTGGGGCCGCAAAACAAACCCAAATCCTCTTCTCTCCACCACCATGCCTGGCAGTTGGTATGAAGTGTTTTTGCTGAGATGCTGTGTTTGGTTTTTGCCAAACATGGCATTCTGTGTTATGGCCAGGTTTCTCCACTTCAGTCTTGGCTGTTCAAAGGGCATTGTTCCAGAGGTCTCGTGGTTTGTCCATATGTAACTGCAAACCTAAGCCATGCTGCCATGCTCTGTTGTTCCAGAGGTCTCGTGGTTTGTCCAGATGTAACTGCAAACCTAAGCCATGCTACCATGCTCTTTTTAGAGAGAAGAGGCGCTCTCCTGGCAACCTTTCCAAACAAACCATGTGTCAAAGTATTGAGAATTTTATAGGCCTGAACAGGTCCAGACTGTAACAATAATGAACTGCCATGATGAACACCTGTGTAAGTGCTGAGTCACATTGACTAAGAAGAAGAAGAAGCAACATCTGTGGATGATGCAGCACCCATGTAAAGGAAGATGATGCAACACTTGAAGTGATTGGACAGAAGCATCAGTTCAACTGTATATAGTGGTGCCTCGCTTAGCGGTCGCTCCGCTGAGTGATAAAATCGCTTAGCGATGGGGTTTTGGCCATCGCCAGAGCGATCGCTTAGCAATGGCCCCTATGGGGGAAAATCGCTTTGCGATGATCGTGGGGAAGCAATCATGGCAAAGCGACCCTTTTTGCACAGCTGATCTGCGGTTCCAAAATAGCCGCCGGAAAAACAAAATGGCCACCCGCTGTTTTGCCTCGCTTTAGAGGCACTGAAAATGGCCGCCCCTATGGAGGATCTTCGCATAAGGTCAGTTTTTAAGCCCATAGGAATGCATTAAACACGTTTTAATGCGTTTCTATGAGCTTTTTAAAAATCAACATTTTTCCTGGAATGGATTAACGTCGCTAAGCGAGGCACCACTGTATAAGGGAACATTGTGAACATGAATGTATCTCCTCCTTCCTCTATGCTACTATCCTCTATATACTTTGCCTCTATTTTTACTGCCACGCCGAAGGTCTGTTACTTTGTATATTTGTATATACAGTGGTGCCTCGCTTAACAATGTTAATTGGTTCCAAAAAAAACATCGCTATGGGAAAACATCGCTAAGCGATACAATGTTTCCCCCATGGGAATGCATTGAAGCCTATTCAATGCATTCCAATGGGGGAGAAAAAAATTCACCAAAAATTAACGAAGAGTCAGATCAAAGCCAAATTAAGTTTGCAAAGGTTTCAGAAGGTGCACTAACGATCCCAAGCATTTAAAATTGTTTTTGAACCTTTTTTGAACATTTTAAAAATAGCAAAAATGGAACATCACTAAGCGAAACAGGGGACCTAAAACTGTCATCGCTAAGCGAGGCAAGGTCCCGAACATCGCTATGCGAAATGTCCCATAGGGAACATTGCTAAACGGAGCGCAAAATCGCTCCAAAAACCTCATCACTAAGCGAATACATCGTTAAATGAGGCAATCGCTAAGCGAGGCACCACTGTATTTTTGTTAATACACGTGTCTTGTAGAAGAAGAGAGTGTGTGTTTTTTTCCTTCAATCAGAGTACTCTGCACATCAAACAGCAAGAAGCTGACACCATGATTGTTCAGTCTTTTTCTAATTGTACTGTCATGAACTTTAACATTTACCATGCTAACTGAGGCCTGTAGAATCTAAGATGTAACACTTTGGAATTTTGAAATTTCTCTGAGCATTACACTGTCTGACCTTGGGGTGAATTTGCTTGGAGGGCCACTCCTAGGAAGACTGGCAAGTGTCTCGAATGTTTTCTACTTGTGAATAATCTTCTCATTGTGGAATGAAGGACTTAACATTGTTTGGAAATAGCCTTAAAGAAATAAGTTATTACCCTTCCCAGATTGATGGGCAGCAACAATTGCTTCTCTGCTATCACTGCTGATGTGTTTCCTCCTCGGCACTGTGTTAACACACACCTGAATGTTGCAGACCAGCGAACTGCTAAAATTTTGGCTTTTATAGAGGTGGTCACACTTCCTGATGATCAATTTATTCAAGGGTATTTGGTTAGGATCAGCTGGCTGTTACTTAGCCTCTTAATTCCTATGGAATCAGTAAAGGTGTACTTAGTTTTTCACACATGGGTTCTCCATTTAGGTTTTATTTTTGTAAAATAAATCATGACACAGTGTAATATGTCATGTGTTGTTGTTCATCTGAGGTTGTATTTACCTACTTTTCAGACCTGTTAGGGACCGGATGATTTTTATTACGTCCTGATGTATAAACAGCATTCAAAGAGGGGATACTTTCCTTTTCCCATGACTGTAGATGATAGTTGTTGGGATAAACGGAATTCAAAGAGGGGATACTTTCCTCTTCCCATGACTGTAGATGATAGTTGTTGGGTTCCAAAATGTTCAAGTATGATTTCTGAACAGATTGTTACTGCTCTCAGCCATGCGCACTGTGTCTAAGGATGCCAGCCCAGATATCCTGCCAATTTCCTTTAAAAGTTCTTGAGGCAGAATCTCCAGTTAGCCATCTGGCACTTCTTGTATCTAGTTCCAAGGGGGTGGGATGTGAGAAGGAAATGGAACCCGGAAGGTCATGAAATATATTGGAGCTGCAAAAGGTCCTTGTGGCAGGCAGCTTCATGGCAATCACAATTCAGGTTGAGTATGAGGGGGCTGGATGAGAGATGGGTAGGTGAGGAACAACCATAGGAAGGAGCGCTGGTATTGCTTTCTAAACAAGGGGTGTTCTGCCTTTTTTTTTTTTTTGAAAGAAACAAACTTGCTCCTTTAGAAAAAATGTGGTTGATATGAATCCTGAGCATCAAGTACATGGTTAATACACTGAGCTAAACGGAATGAATCTTGAGGCAATTAGAGTTTTAGTTGTAGATTTCCTGCTTCAAGAGGGGGGTTGGACTCAGTGCCTCTCAGGGTCCCTTCTTGCTCTACAGTTCTGTGATTCTACGAATGCTGGATTAGTCTTTGCCACTGAAGTCAGTTTAAATATTCCATCTCCTATTAGGTAAATCTATTCAGGTAACCTAATTCTTAATAAGGATCATTCTGATTAAGAATGGCCGTGAGATCCATAAAATGGAGAAGCGGAAGGGTGCATGATAGTCTCCCATGTGTGGTTAATAAACCTCTGTGGTTGTGGATTAACTTACCTTTAGCCAGAACAAGTATTGTGTCTCCCTTTTGGAACTCCAGGTCTTCTGGTTGGGCAGCTTCATAAGTATACAGTGCTACAACCTCATTTGCTTCTCTCTCTTTTGCTCTCTTCTGCATATTCTCCATACCATTTTCAGTGTTTAGATCATCTTCACCCGCCTGATGTAAAAAACAGCCAGCTTAGATATATTAGCAGAAGTGGTGGAAAATAGAAGTATGTGTTACCTCTATATTCAGAAGATTAATTTTTTTTTAAAAAAAAATCTCAACTAGTTCTACAGATGCCCAAATCTGAAACTCTTTGGAGTCATTAACCAGTCCAGGACTTTTTCGTTAAGGGGTTCAAGATCCTTCTTAATGCTTCCTTTTGAGTTTTCCATGAGTGTCCTGGTTGTTGCTGGAGTTCAACAGATTTTGAAACATGATAACTAAGAATGTTTTCACCAGAATTAAAAACTGGAGCCATGCATTATTCTTAAAACCATTTATTAAAAAGGTTTAAAAGAAATGAGGGGAATATCTACTTCCTAAAAGTGACACCTACCAACTGGGTCTCTGCATGACTCTCAGCTTGTAGAAAATTTTGCATTTTTGTATTGGGAGTGATTGAAATATTTTATTGCATGATTTGATTGAGTTATCAACCCATTGTTTTGGCAAATGTAGGAAGGGCTGAAGCTGGATACCATACAGTGACTTAGCAGGTACCTCAGTGGGTGAGAGGATACTAGGAGCATTTAATGTCTTCCTCTTAGCAACTTGTAAATAAACTGGAGTGCCTATTACTACGGAACTCGTGTTTTAAAGTTATGGAATAACCAGTCCTAAGATTGCAAATGAAAAAAAATTAAACAACTTAAACCAGAAGTGCAAAGAGTAAGCCCATTTCTAAATAATTTATAGCCATTTCACATATGTACCACTATGGTGGTCACAAATGTGAATTTCAAAGAAGCTGAAAACAGAGAATGACAACAATTTGTGAATGTTAACTATCATATGGTCACAACTTCAAAACTAAATACTCAGAGTTTAATACTTAATTAGAAGTGAGTTAATTTATTCAGTCACTATTATGCTAATTTTTAAAACTGTTTATCTTGTTGACATCACAGTTGGTGAGAAAAACAATGAAGGGAGAGAGTAGGTTTATTGAGCAACTGAATAGAAATACTGCCTGCACATGTCCTGCATACCTGCAAATAAAATGGTTTATAGCAGTTGCTTTGAGTGGAACTGCATGAAACATTTTGAATGGTTTGGGTTACATGTGGTGCTTTCCAGAGCTTGGAGGTGACACAGGTCCCCTGAGAAATTGCTCTGTTTGCTAAGGTGGGCACAGTGAAGCTGCCTTTCAGAAATAAATCAAGTAGATTTTCTTAAAATATGTTGAGTAATGGGTTCTAGTTGTTTTGCAGAGGCATTTTAGTGGAATTTTTCAAGTTCAAGACAGTGTTTTCAAAAAGGAATAGAAACGTAATGAAAAGCAACATGCTTCATTGAAGAAGGAACTCCCCAACCGTTGGCACTTCCTGCAAAAGACACCTCCTCCTCATGTGCTCTATTCTTACCCACCTGCTGGCTGCTACACCACAGTGTCAAAGAAAGGTTCTTTGCATGATTCCACAAGGTGTTCATGTTGTTCTCATTCAAAAGCACAAGCTCTTTGCCGTCTATGGGCCGGTAGCTAAACATCACAGAGAGAACAACTGGTGAGACCAAAAGCAATCCTGTTTCTTCAGCAAGGATGAAGTGGAGAGCTGTTGTGTTGCATTTCTTACCTCAGGCTGGTGTGCTGTGGGGAGAGCTCCAGCTTCTTACACACTTTGTCAAGCAGACTGTGGTATGATAGCTCAGGGCTTGCTTGCAGGGCTATAGTATATTTATAATGCACTTTGATTATATATGGAGTAGGAGTGGCAAACTGCAAAGATGGAAAAGAGCAATGAAGGTTTCCAAACCCATCTACATTCTGGATGACTGTTTAGATGGGAGGGCGCATGGGACTTCTTGCCTGCACACTAAAGCATGTGGAAAGAAACACTTGCAAACATGCACCCGTACTTCACATGATAGATCTTATCACAGTGTTTTGAAGTATCTTGGAGTGTGATAAGTCTTCATTGTTTAAAAAAGAATGTTAGCACTATGTCGTTGGGATGCTGTCAAGGGAAATTCAGTGCTTAGTTTCTAAAGGAGAGGGTGTTTGAACATCTGTGTTGACTTTTGCCATGTTTTCCGGACTGGAAGTCTTGTCTTTCAGTGTACAATATTATTCTTTATACTTTCTGAGACATTTTTTATTTACTTGCCATATTTATATGCTGCCTAATTAGTCTTCTGTCATTGTGTGTCCATGTGGATGTATTAGCTTTCGATATGCTTTGTCAACAAAGCAGGAATGTGTCAATGCAAACTCCCTCAAAGTTTAAATTAACCTTCTAAGCAAAATTGTTATTTAGAATTTGAAACATCAAAAGCTGAAGTTCGGATCTGAAGATCTTCCTCCAATCACAGTAAACATGTCAGAACCTTTCCCTGAAAAATTGGTTTGCTTCCATTGTGGTGTAGTAAAACGCATGCAACCATCACTGAAAGGTAAAGCCTGAATATTTTAAGCAGGAGCAGGCGTCTGCCTCACAGAACTACTGTAGTGGTGGTTAGGAATAAGATAGCTGACTGTAATTACAGGATCTAGGCCTCCATTGTGTGTTATGCTAAGGTAAGAAGCAGTGGAAGCTTGAAAGCACCACGGGATCTTCATTTACAACAGCATGCACTATACAAATTATTATCTGATTTCTCTTGTCTCTCCAACAACTCAACTGTTCAAGGGGGTCACTTACCTCTGGTGTTCTCTGACCTACAAAAAGAAGTAGAAGAATTAAACAAAACAGGAGAATTTTTTTTAAAAAAACATATAAACAGATGCTGAAAGTATATGCTTTGGCTCAGTAAAGCAGTCATGACTTTGCAATTATATCTGTACTAGAATAAGAAGAGTCCTGCAATGGGTGAATCAATTGTAACCCATTGGACTGCAGGTTGGGGAGGAAATATGTTTTATGAGTGAACCCTTCATTAAAGCAAACAAGCATAACATTGGGCTACAAGTATTCCTGATGTGTTAATTTCCTGCCTAAAGAGGGGGGAAATGGTGTTCAAATTTGGGGAAAGCTTTCAGAGTGGTAAGAGAGTTCTTGTTGGACTCTCTTGAAGAAAACATTGAAAAGCATTAGACATGACCCACTTCCCTAATGTGCAGTCAGAGTCTCTGCCACTCCATTCTATTGTGGGTACAAGATCCAGATGGATTATTTTAAAGGGTTCCCAATTAAAAGCACAACAGTAAGAATCTGGAGGAAACTAACTGGCAGGTGTATCTTGAGTCCTCTTGAGTGTAAGCTCCATAGGATTCGGTGGGCTTACTGCCCTGCAGATGACTTTTAGCTTCATGCACAATCTCTTTTGGCGCAACAGATGACTGGAAATAGTAATCTCATTAGCTAATTAAGGCAGCAATTGGATCCTTGCTTACCTGGAAGCAAAAGCAACTAAATTTAATGGGGCTTTCATCCGTCTAATGTAGATTTAACTATTTTGCAATTATTAGTTTCAAAATTAGAAGCCAACTTTTAATGAAAGCACATTCTTACCCGTCACTATCCCACAATTCTCCTCAGAATAATTTCCCATTCCGTAACTTGTGGAAAGTCGGTGTTCTACTTGCACCACCTCCTGAAAAGGATTCACTGTATAATTAATTCCCTTACTGACCTGAGGGACGTTTCACAGGGCGCTCTGGAGCAGCAATGCGAGGTGGATCAGGGATGTCCAAGTTGGCACTGTTTTCCTTCAGTGTAAAAGGGAAATGTTATGGCATGTCTGTGAGCAGCACTTGTACTGGCTGTAATGTTAATCCCAGAATTTAAAGGGTGAATGAACAATATTAAGTGTTCTAGTTAAGGGAGCGGAAGAAAGATACAGATCAGCAGCACAGCTTAATCCCTTTCTTAGTTTCAGGCTTTAAGGGCAACATTCTCCTAGCTGGCACCTTTCAAATTGGTGGAACTACAAATCCTGACATCCCCAGCATCCCCAACCTGACATCCCCAATCAGACCAGATAGGCGGGATATAAATAAAATAAAATTAAAAAAACAACAGCAATTGAATTGTGGGATCTGAAGTTCAGCACATCTTAAAAGTGCCATGTTTGGGAAGCCAACTTTTAAAAAGCATATCTAAGTAAGTAAGTAAGTATCAACCACAATAACATGTCGTATTTAAAATAACCAATAATGTGATGTTTAACCTCAAATTGGTGGAACTACAAATCCTAACATCCCCAACCAGCAATTGAATTTTGGGATCTGAAGTTCAGCACATCTTAAAAGTGCCAGGTTTGAGAAGCCAACTTTTAAACTTAATGGCTAGAATCTTGTTTGCATGTAAGGTCAACCATGGAACCATTTCTGCCCCTCCAGCAGGCTCTCCTTCATGCAAATGGAGAGCATGTTGGGGGAACCACTAGGTTCTCTTTCAGGGTTGTAAAAGGAATAGGATTTTGGCTAGTGAGTTAAAAACCTTACCCTGCAGTGTTTATCTAAACTAAATTAGGTTTTTAGGTCATTTTAAATAATATACTGCTAACTTAGGTGTTTTAGAATAATGTTCCAAGCTCTGGAAAGAGGCTGCACGAAACAGGTAAAAAAAGGTAAAGGTTCCCCTTGACATTTTTAGTCCAGTTGTGTCCGACTCTAGGGGGCGGTGCTCATCCCATTTTCAAGCCGTAGAGCCAGTGTTTGTCCGAAGACAGTTTCCGTTGTCACGTGGCCAGCATGACTAGGGAACTCCGTTTTACCTTCCCACCGAAGTGGTCCCTATTGATCTACTCGCATTTGCATGCTTTCGAACTGCTAGGTTGGCAGGAGCTGGGACAAGCAATGGGAGCTCACTCCGACTCGTGGTTTTGATATTACGACTGCTTGGTCTTCTGACCTTGCAGCACGGAGCCTTCTGTGATTTAGCCCACAGCGCCACCACAGGTAAGGTGGTCCTTTTTGTTGGAAATGAGAGAGCCATCAAGATTAACTGCCACACAGGCAGAAAGTGTCCTGCTTCAAGATACCATCCTCTCTGCATATTGTGAAGCCTTGAGTAATCTAAGATGTCACATATCAATAATTTAGTGACCAACCAATCAGTTTATATTGGATGTTGCCTATTCAGCACTGGGAAGAAGAGTTACAGTGTTAATCTAAAAGCAAGGTCAGGTGATATCTTTATTAGCCCCCTCACACACACACACGTGTGCATGCGTGCGTTAGACCATCTATAGTCCTCCCCATCTCTCTCTGGCTGCTTTTTGAATAAGGTACTATTTTCTAGTCTTACTTTTTAAAAAGCTGATACACAAAAATAGCTTAGTTACTTCAGTGAATTGTCTGAGAACAAAATGATGCATGTGTCACACCATAATAATTTTAGCAGATAGGTAAATAATCTTAGAAGTTAAACTGGCATAGTGGGTCTGATTTTAGCAAGCCGATGTATGCTTACATTTAGTTCTTGTTTAAGTATGCAACTTTATCTTACCAAGGGTGAGTTTTGGTTTGTCATTTGCATTGGTTCTAGATAGTTGCAAGGTACAATGCCTTCCTGTACAAAAAATCAAAAGCAACTGTTAGGAGAGTGGGCAGTATCAGAGGTCTTCATGGACACTGGAAAGCGTTCTCTTCCCATGAGTGGATAGAAGAGTGTTCCTCCACTCCTTCCTCCTCATCAACCCAATTTTCTAAAATGTCAATATTTTGACTATACTTTGTCAGAACAATGGAAATTCTTTTTCATAAAACCCTGCCTAGGTAATGATGAAGTGGTCTGGCATCTCCACTTCCTTCACTAAAAGCAACTTTGACTTCTGAGCATCTTCTCTCTCTCTCTCTCTCTTTGGTGAGGAGGAGAAAGCAAGGAAGAATGATGTGTCCTTTATTATTTCTACAGAGGAGAACAGCTGCTTCCTGCTGATACAATAGAGAAGCCACATGGGAACAGGCAGCATTGTCCCCTCAGTACATCTCTGTCAGTCTTAAAATTTTAGCCCAGGAAGGTCTCCATTGTAAGGGATTCAGGAACACAGATATTGTACAATCATCCCATGAGTGATTCTACTATTTTGGATGAGTTAAATCATGGCTGGACTCCAGACAGGAGACTCTAGAATCTTAGTCTGTGTGAAGCCAATCAGAAAGAACGACTGAAAAACAAAACAATAATTTATATCATGCAACATCAAGTCAGTTGTTATGACAACCCTTTCCAGGGTTTTCTGGAAAGTACTCAGAAGTGGTTTACCATCTCCCCCCCCCAACTTTTCTGGGGGCACACTAGAACTGTGCAGCTTACCGAAAGTTACATAGACTGACTCTTCTCCCTGAAGAGACAGTAAGGAACAGAACTCTTGACCTCTGACTTTACAGACAGATACCTAATTAACTTAAAAACAAGCCCTGTGGTACCGCCTGCTCCTTTTTAGGTCACATTTACCCTACTGATGGGGCAATAAGTTGATGGAGTCATAGTGAGGGGGAGGAATGCACATGAATGTGATGGGGGTTGGAGTAAGTTCAGCCACCTTATATTTAATAGAGATGGGGGACCAGATGGGTTAGGACCATTTTGTCCTCTTGTTTTTCTATAAGTGTCCACTTGCAGGTTGTTTCCTTTTGGTGACTATCTCCTAAAATCACTGCCACCTTCCTGAAGGGAAATATTTGTTCTTTGTTCTCATTCTTCTTCAATAGATGGCCAATTGGGAGGGTTCTCTCCTTGCTGGTCTACAGCACACCGGCGTACATAGAAGCCAGCTGGGGGCTGACTCTCCTGAACTCCATCCTAGCTTTCATCCTGTTATTATCCTAACTAGACTTCTTGGCCCACATAAAAGTAAGTTTTTTTTCCCCCTTTTATCCTACCAAGGGGCATCCTGAACAATTACTCCTCTTCCATCGGCATAAAGTCACCTTACTAGCCTGCTGCATTCTGCTGAGATAATGAGCAGAAAGGTAGTCTCTGGGCAGGCCTGCCACTTTCACTTCCTGGTGGGAAGGCTTTGCCCTTCCATCTCCAGGTAAGGGCAAACCATACTTCACTTCTCTACTCTCAATCCATTTTCTACTAGGAGTAAACCATAGTTTAACTCCAAATCACCCCACCCTCCATTTTCACACAATTTTCCTTGCTCTTTGTGTAAACAGAATAACTGCTCTTGGTTATCCTACCTAACAGTTACTACTGCACTTACAGGAAGGTTGGGAGTAAAGAAGGCTTGGGTATACCTGTGAATAAATAGGTTTAATAGCTATTTTCTCACCAATGCAGGGAGTAGAAATAATCATATTGATTGGTAACCCAAAACCTTATATTTAGGTCATGACAGTTAAAACGCATTTGCAAGAGGTATCAATAGTTGATGTCAGTGAGACAAGAAATATCGTCAGCAGTGCTTCTCAATCCTTGCTATCCATGGACCACTGGACAATTGATGGAGGTTCTAGGAGACCACACAGGCTTGGTTTTAGTGTACAAATCCAAGCATATATAGTCTTCTCAGTAACCATATTTCTTCAAAGCCAGCTATGAAGAAAGATCATGGGACCTCAGCCAAAATGTCATTTTCTAGTCCCAATTGTCTGAAAAATATGAGATATGCAGAAGGGTCATATCTCATTGCCTCCTGTTCCTTTACAGCACCAGAATTGAGGTCACGAATTACAGTTCGATAGCCCACGCCACAGAGAGTTATCTTCAGCTCTTTTGTAATACCTTTCCATTGAATACAACAGTTGCCCAGTTGTCTTTCTCTTTCTTCAAGACAAAAACAATGTTTCCAGGAAGGACTTGAAGCTCATCCTCTGTCTCTGGTATAAACTCATACAAAACTCTGTGAGGTTGTCCCTGTAGGGTCCTGCATAGGGAGAGCAACTTACAATTTAGTCAGTCCAATAATAAATTAAGCAAATAAAAATGATTGTTTCACTGCACAATCCAGGTTCCTGAGAAAAATATGGTAAATTTGCAAAAACAATTGGTCCCAGGTGCTGGACATGTGGTGAAGTTGCCTGATGATGGCTTTATATTATACAACCCTGAGTGTGTTTGGAAAATAACACAGTCTTCTAATACCTTGGAAGAAGATGGAGACATCATTTCATGCTCAACTCTCAAGCACTTCATTTTGCATTTCTCTGATATGTTTCATATACAGTACCTGAACATTTGAAATACCACCCCTCGTCTCTGAGAAAACAATAATCTTATTCTGATAGTTCCAGTGGAGACTCATGTGTAAGTGGGGCACTGTCATCACTCAAATCCAAACTATCCCCATGGACACTTACTAGAAGCAGAGAATGTGTGTGTGTGTGTGTGTGTGTGTGTGAGAGGGAGGGAGGGAGGGAGGGAGAGTGACTGCTTGCCTATGTGTGAGCACACATGAACAGAAACAAACCATTTTCGCTCTTGCTCTGTCCACTCTTATTTGCTATGCGTTCAGCCCAATCAGTCACAAGGGACACCAGTCACCATTGGATAATTCCTTACCTTATGCATAAAGAAGGCAGACATCTAAATTTTCCAGTGTTATAAATCTACAAATTCCTTTTCCTTTTAAAGAACTATGTGTTATGAATAGTCGTAGCAGAGCCTTACTGTATGTAACAAACAGAGGCTGCTGTAGCCTGATATTCTCTGAATTTTATGGATCTTACCAGAGTTTTTCTGGTGTCTTTGGTCTTGGAGGCGGTTCTGATGCCTGCAAATACAAACATATGTTAGCATTTGCCTCTCCCGCTCTGTATACAGCTCGTGATCTTTTCTAATTCAGAACGTGGGCTGACGAGAGACGGAACATTTTCAAAGAGGAGGCACAACTGAAAATGTTATCATTGTCCAGGCAAGTTTGTTACTTTAGTCAATGTTCTACATGCACAAGCCAAGCAAACTGATGGGTGAATTTTACTATAGTACTTGTGATGATGGACCAATGTCCTTCACCCACACCTCAGGGCAGCAGAATGGCTGCAGGGTTCAGATGCAGAGCTCTGTAGCCCACTATCTCACCAGGGCTGTTCAGCCTTCGGGAGATGCTTGCTGTCTGCTTAAACAAATGCTGCAATACAGAGGTGCTGTTTCCCACCTGTATCACGTGAGTGGAACAATACATGCATGCATAGAATGGAGTATATGGATTCTGGGCTGGCTATGCCTCTGCTTCTTCCCATCATTCAGAAATGTTTCTTAATGGAGATGCCCAATTCATGTGGTTCATGGAGAGTAGGCAGAGTGTGTGTGGGGGGGGGGACCAGCTGACTAGCTATAGGTCAGCGACAAGTGAGCACAGCTGACATGAAGCACAGGCTCAGGAGAATAGAAATGGCTGCAGTCCTGGAGTGAAAGGCTCAGGAAGCTGGCCAGTGATGACTTCCAAAGCAATCACCTCCTTGCTGCTTCAGTGAGCTGCATTACCATGGGAGCAGCAAAAGCAGACTCTTTTGGAAGGGACAAGACAGATACCGTATTTCCCCAAAAATAAAGCAGGGTCTTATATTAATTTTTGCTCCAAAAACGCATCAGGGCTTATTTTCAGGGGATGTTTTACAACCATCTACATTTATTCAAATACAGTCATGTCATCATCTTCTGGTTGCTGCATAGTGGTGGAGGGTGAGGTTTCACTTAACTCAGGCTTATTTTTTAGGGTAGGACTTATATTACGAGCATCCTGAAAAATCATACCAGGGCTTATTTTCAGGTTAGGCCTTATTTTCAGGGAAACAGAGTACACATGTACATATAAAAGTATCTATATGGATCTTCAACTCCAAAAGGTTTCCCAGTGCAGTTCAGAAGCCTAATAAATGCCAATTAACATTTCTTAATTGAAAAAAAAAACCCTGAACAGAAAACATTGGTTGTTCCCAAGTTACATTGTTCATATAAACAGACTACTCAAGTGATGAGCTGTTTGTGGAAGTTAATGGCTGGCTGAACAGATCTTCAAAAACGAGGTCCCAGAAATTAGTGTATGATTCTTGCATCTGTCTGTTGTGACATTACCAGAGCAAGTACGTAGCAACCTTCCTGTCTTTGCACATTGCATGGCTATGCCACTTTCTAACTATTAGTGGCTGAAATCCTGTTGTGCAACTTTCTTTGCTGTGCCAGTAATGTCATCTGATAACAGCAATTTTAGATAATTAAAGAATTAATTTTCAATGAGTTGTTTGTAATTTCTTATATCCAATATTTTAAAAAAACCTCAGTTACTTAGAGATGCTTTGTTCAAACAGTTTTTAACATATTTGGAAGTTGTGAAATTATTAAAAACAATTTTAACAAATTTAATAGATTCATAGTCTGAATCTATTGCAATCTATGCAACTGGAAGACTGTTGCAGCCCTTGTCTGATACCATTCTACGAAGAGGCAGGATATGAAACCAAAATTATGAAGTTGTTCCCCAAACAATCATCCTCTAGGGTTTAGGGGATTTGATAACATTATCCATTGCACCCTATGAACATGTTAACTCCTCAGGAAGAAGCAGCAGAGAGCACTGGGAGAAGGAAAGGTAGCAGAAGTATGAAGTGAGAAAAACCAGAGGACATATTGAAAGCTGACTTTGTGTCCAGGGGAGATGTGATGCAATTATCAAAAGAGGAGAATAAAACAAGTGGACAAGAAGAAGCCTTTTTTTTGTCTCACCTGGGGTTGAAGAGGAGCAAAGCCTGCAAACTCATCTTTGTCAACCACTGATGCCACAACCTGTAATCAGAAGTGCTACACCTTAGGCATTCTACAAACCCAGTAACAAGATACTTTAACACATTTTAATGTTCTTTTGTTCATCCACTTCTAATGCAATGTGAATGAAGGCAGGAGAACACAAGGCAATGTGTTCATGGCTTTGGGAGAAGCAGAAGCAGCTCAAGACCCCTGCCCAGGTACTGTAGTACAGACAGGTGAGAAAAGGTGCACGACAGCTTAGAGATGTGTGAGGAATTCCAGTTTCAGCCCAAGATTTGATGGGCTTGTCTTGGTTTTGCTTCTCAAACTATCTGCAGGCCAGCTGCAACTTGCAGTCTGGAATCCTCACATTGCATTCATTTCAAGGGTGCACAAAACATGGCTAAAACACACTTCAGTAAATGAATGAAATGTATTCAAGTAATGCACACAACACAGAGTAGAAATGTGCATAAAATGTGCAAGGGAGAGCAAAGAAGGTATGGGCCGTACCCTACAAAAAAATTAAAGCACCTGATGAAACCAAGCATAGGCACAGGGAAAAATGTTTAGATGCAGGCTTTACAGAGCTTGCAAAAGTGTTGTTATACTGAGAAGGTGAAGGCTTGGGCCCTAAATTGCCTTTCATGTATGGAACAGAACTGACTTGAGTAGGACTGACGCCTTCTCCAGTTTTCTGCCACCACCACCATCCCTGTTCTCCCACCTAAAGTCTGATGATGATTGTAGACCCTTGTGAATGCTGTGGAATAGGGCGTGTTTGTTTCTCCCACTTACAAGAACATAGAAGAGTAACATAAAAAGTCAAACCTCTGGTATCTTAGGGGAACAATGAATAATTTTAATTTGAGCCTAAATAAATTGAACTGTAATAATCCAAAATCTTCTTATGTTTGCATCACCACAATATGGCTAATTTTGTGTTTGGATATTATCTAATGTGACTGAGATCACAATCTTTTTCTTTGCATAATTTTTCCCATATTCATCTGCTGCCAGTGAGTTTTGTTAATTTTCACCTTGCCAATTCTTCCTTTTATTTGCAACTACATCAAAGTTGTTAACAATGCAATTAAGTTATACTTTGAAAATGATATGAACAGTGTTTTACAAGCAAATTTCCTATGTCTTTTATCATTTTAGAATGTGAGATTTCATTAAAAGCCCAAATATATTTCAATGCACACATAATGACAGTTTCATTTTAAAGTTTTCAGTTTTTCACCTAGCCTATGTAAATGTGTTTGTCACAGTAGCTTGCTCACCAGCACCCGCAAGTAATGCTCTTCTGCATACTGTGAATAGCTTCACTTGCAGTTTACAGGACATCAAGCTTCTGTTAAAGGTGTATGTATGTATGTATGTATGTATGTATGTATGTATGTATGTATGTATGTATGTATGTATGTATGTATGTATGTATGTATGTATGTATGTATGTATGTATCGAAAATGAATAGTGGCATGCATCCATGCGTGCGTGCGTGCGTGCGTGCATGCGTGCATGCATGCATGCATGCATGCCGCCCCGTTAGTGTGAATGCATTATTCTGGGTGGTTTACAATCAACCAAAACATTAGTGTGAATGCACTATTCTGGGCGGTTTACAATCAACCAAAACAATAAACATAAACAAAACAACAACAAAATAAGAACACATCAAGTGGCAGAAATGTAAACTGAAATACAACATGGGCATATCACCATATAGACCAGGAAGAAACAGGTCATGCAGGGTTGTCAAAAAAGGCCTCTCTGTAAAGCAGTGTTTTCAAAGCTCTTTTAAAGGAAGGGAGGGGGGAGGGGGCTGCGCACGGTTCCACCAGCAGTTGGTTCCATACTGTTGGCGCCACCTACTGCTAGTACAGTACAGCATTTTTTTGACCTCTCTTGGAGTGGCTACCTGGAGGATCATGGCTCATTTTTTTTACCTCCCTTGGAGTGGCTACCTGGAGGATCATGGCTTGGGAGGACCTAGTGGATCAGGTGGATGACCTTAGGGAAAGACACTGTGACATGGAGAGCTTTATAGGTGATCATCAAAACCTTGGATCTGATCACACTGTGACATGGAATGTGGTCTGAAGCCATGAAGAGCTTTATAGGTAACCAGTGCAAACGAGCCAGAACTGGGGAGATGTGGAACAGGGTAACTCCCCCCCTCTCCCAAATAGCTAGCACCTTTCCTACAGTATAACCAGAGTGAGCCTTTCAGGGACACATGCTAGGTCACATTGGGTGGTTGCTTTTGCTTTTGAACTTCCTACCGTGGCTTTCCCTAAGTAATCTTTCTTCTCCAGCTGTGCCACTTGCTTTTCATTTGGCCGAAACAACTTCCCTTCGGGAATCATGATGGGATCCAAGCATCTTTGCTTCTGCATATACGGAAATACAAAGATCAGTCACGAACAGCCTCCAACATGCACTTATGTTTTCATCTGTTAAAAACAATGCTTTTTGTTCCATATTTTTATTCCATGCCAGGGCAGGAGAATCTGCAGTTCTCAATCTAGTTTCATGTGGCCTTTCACATAATTTTAAAGGGCCTTAGGGAAGGGTTGGCACAGACAAAGAGAGAGAAGTGCACAGACAGAGGAAGAGAGACAGGGAAGATGGGATGAGCGGGAAGGAGGGAGGGAGGGAAGGGATAGAGAGAGGACAGAGAGAAACACAAGATTTCTATCTATTTTAATTGTATTTTAATTGTTTTATCTTTTTATTGTATTTTAATTGTTGTAAGCCGCCCAGAGACCTTTGGGTAGAGTGGGCAGCATATAAGTTAAATAAATAAATAAATAAATATTCCATAACATTCATATTCTCTCCCGCTGCCAACAGTTCCCTCCCAAGCTAGAGGGCTGCCAGGTCTCAAGTCCAGATCAGATTGTGAGCCTCTTCCCTGGGATCTCCAGAGCTGAGTTGCATCTTAGGTGTCAGAAGCAAGGAGGCACAATATTTTCCACAGGGCTCATTCCCAGTTTTCTCTTCCATGTGTAAAACTTTAAAGTGCTCCATTTTAACAGAAAATTATTCTTGCCATCATTTTCTCTCTCCTTGGGGAAAAAAAATGGCTGTGAGGTGGACTTGCCAATATTTGCAGGAATGGTACGTATATTCAACATGCCGGGAAGAAGAGCATCCTTGCCCTCCCACGGCCAGTCTCATCTCATTGCGCTGCCTATGTGGAGACCAATGATCTGAGTTCCTTCATCTTAGGGAGGGTCTCCACACATTTCCAAGCCTTCATTATCCCAAACTTCAAACTGTAATGGAGAACATCTGCAGAGATGGGAGTGGATGGGCTGGCAGACAGAGGGAGAAAGATGGAATGGCAAGGAAAAAGAAGAAGTGAGGAGACTCAGGGGATGCAGCAAAAGAGAAGTGGAATAGTATGGACAGAGGAGGTGACAGAATGGCACTGCACGTGGGAGAACAGGGTGGAGGGTAGGGAGAAAGAAGAAAACACAACATGAACCCTATCCACTTTCATCTTCAGCTCTCCCTTCTGCCAGTGGTGACTCTGCCCACCACCAGAATGCACTACCAGGCAGATCACCCCAGAGGACATGGCCCTTGATAGAAAAAGAGGCTCCCCCCGCGCTCTAAAATCACGTAACCCTACATGCTTCAGCATGCTTCTCTTCAGTCTCCTCCTTATACAGCAATGACAAACCCCCCTCTCATGTCAGGACACCACCAGACATGTCACTCATCCATAATATAGTGATAAGTACTTAGGAGGATGAAGGACCTGATGTTATCTACCAGTGTCAAAAAAAGGCAGGGCCTGTGGACCCTTTTGTAGTGGGGCACTGATCAGAATTCCATAACATTCGTATTCTCTCCCGCTGCCAACAGTTCCCTCCCAAGCTAGAGGGCTGCCAGGTCTCAAGTCCAGATCAGATTGTGAGCCTCTTCCCTGGGATCTCCAGAGCTGAGTTGCATCTTAGGTGTCAGAAGCAAGGAGGCACAATATTTTCCACAGGGCTCATTCCCAGTTTTCTCTTCCATGTGTAAAACTTTAAAGTGCTCCATTTTAACAGAAAATTATTCTTGCCATCATTTTCTCTCTCCTTGGGGAAAAAAAATGGCTGTGAGGTGGACTTGCCAATATTTGCAGGAATGGTACGTATATTCAACATGCCGGGAAGAAGAGCATCCTTGCCCTCCCACGGCCAGTCTCATCTCATTGCGCTGCCCATGTGGAGACCAATGATCTGAGTTCCTTCATCTTAGGGAGGGTCTCCACACATTTCCAAGCCTTCATTATCCCAAACTTCAAACTGTAATGGAGAACATCTGCAGACACAGTAAGCTGTCCTCTCTGGGTGTCAAGGGCTACTGGAGACAAGAGATGGCAGGGCTAGCTCCCCCCCCCTCTACATGTAGGGAAAGAGAGCAAGCAAAGACCGCCATCTTGCTGCACCATCTCAGCATAATTGCACTGACATTCTGGAAAGCTGATTATCACAAATTTTGTGTACAACCCTAAACAGAGCCAGCCCAGGAGAGTAAAGCTACATCCATGGTCTTTGGATAGTGAGCCTAGATTAATTAATTATCAAGAAAAGCTACATCCAGAGTTGCATGGTCTTTGGATAGTGAGCCTAGATTAATTAATTATCCCTTTCTACCATTTCTTACCAGGATAGATTCCATGGCTTTATCAATTTTGTTGTGCCGGGGTCCCGTCTTCAGTTTCATTGCCCTTGTCAAATTCTCCTCTGCCTTTTTCCAGTCCTCTAGCTTGGCATGGACAACAGCTATATTGTACAACACCTAGTTCATGAAGGGCGAGAGAGTCAGAAAGCACAACCCAAACCAAATTGCATTATAGTCCCATTAATTACCACTGAGTGCTAGGACGGCACAGGGCCCAGAGGTATCAGGATGGACCAAAAGGACTGCAGATAAACATGTGAAGCTTACAGGATGACTAACTCTTGCCCAGTTTTCAGGGAAGTCACGTTGGCCCATTTCAGCAATAACAAGACTGATCGGAAGGAAACCAGGGAGTCACCTATCTACCTCCCTGACGGACCAGATTGAGGACCACTCCTTTCCACTCCCTCAGGCCCCATTGGTTTAGGTTTCAAATACAGTGGACCCTTGACTTACAGACTTTTTGAGTTACAGACTTCTCTGGCCGCAAAATTTAGGTTTGACTTGCAGACTGAGATTTGACTTACAATCAGGCCATCCCCCCATGGCTTTAGGTTTCAAATAGTCCGTTCCATTTCTGATTGACCATGTCTGAATCTTTTTCAGTCAACAATGTCCTCAGCCAAGCTTCGAGGAGACATGGGAACATAGTGATCTCCCTCCACATGGCCAGGCCTTGCCAGGCTGCAAACAGGGCCAAGGTAAAACCGCCTTCCAATACGGATTAAGTTCTCAAGTCAAGACCCCACTGTAGTCCGTTCCATTTCTGATTGACCATGTCTGAATCTTTTTCAGTCAACAATGTCCTCAGCCAAGCTTCGAGGAGACATGGGAACATAGTGATCTCCCTCCATTTTCTTGCCAGGCTGCAAACAGGGCCAAGGTAAGAAAAACTGAGGGATTCTAATTTCTTAAGACTGGTCTCGAGGATCAGGCCACTGTAGTTTCTCACCTGCATGTTCCCACGTCTACCTGGGCAGGGAATATTACTTCACAAATTCTTCCAGTTTCTTTCTGGGTCCAATGGCTGAAGGTGATATGGCACTTATATACCACCTCTGGACTGAGATCAACCATGGATAAAACACCTCCAGGCCAAAGACCTCCACCGAACATCCCACATGGAATAAAGTACCCAGTGTTCAGTACAAGTCAGAATGGGCTGCAAGGCTGGATCATATTTTTCAGCATCAGATTTGCATTATGTTTCTTGCAAAAAAATTTTTTTATTTAATTTATATGCCACTCACACTACCCAAAGGTCTCTTTGACAGTACAGGTAGCCTGTCTTTAAAATCCCTCAAGTACTGAAAGATGTCTGACTGCCACAACAGGTGGCTTTTCATCTATTTTCATACTCCCATACAGGATTTTCATACTTCCCATAGCTTACAAATTAGCTTGCCATGTGTGTGTGATTGGTCACTGGGTGGTCAGAAGGACTTCATTTACAAATACAGCTATTGAGTCATGAAGGTCTGCGAGAGTGCTGTCAGTTTCTAATGACAAGCGTCAGTGATACACCATTGTTTGACCCTTACAGTAGAACTGAACAAAGTTCACAACTTACCTCACAGGCAAGCAACTTAAACTGTAGGCCAAGGATCTTGTAATCTATTAGACTGTTGCCACGTAGCTGAGTCAATGCCTCTTTAAAATCATTAATGGCTGATTCATAACTAGAAAGCAAAGAAGGAAAGAAGGTAGTGAGGCCTTCTGGGATGAGCTAAATGTGGAATAGGTTACTGCTACACTAGAGCTCTTTTTTGACATTTCTCAGAGAAGTCTTTCCTCAATTAGCTGTTCTTATCTGCAGAACATTAGTTTATTTTTATCCTTTCCTTTTATTATTATCACTAACATCACAGAGTAACCTTTTTAAAAAGAGGAAAAGGCTTGGTTTTTTTTTCCCCTAAGGTATAGTTTTACAATCTTGTGATACTGAATACTCAAGGTTTTTATTAATCATATTTTGTATATAGTAAATTGTTGGCATTTAAGTTGAAATTATAGATATGCACAAGCACCCTATCAAAATGATCCACTGCATTTGCAAGAAGACAGACTAGTGGAGAGGGGTATAATTTCACTGAATTCTCCAGAGGAAGGAAAGATTTTTCCAGAAGTTTTCCATAGGCGAGTCTCTCTGTCAGCAAAAGTTGTAGCACAACTTTGTATACCTTTTCTCTCCAAATCATTTTGGGGGTATTTGTGCTGCCACTGCAAGTGACAACAACAGCAACTGTATTGGCAGCCTGACCACCATTTTGCTTCATCCCCAAAGCCCTCTATTTCTCATCGGTCCAGATCATGGGGGAGGACAGACTCCCTAACAATGGTGGGAAAATTTTGGAAATTTCCTCAAAGTGTGCTTCTATTTCTAGAGGAGTAAAGGGGGTGGGGGTGGGGAGGAAACTTCCAAATGTTTATCAAGGGGAAAATTTGTTCTGCTAAATTTTGGCTCAGCTCTAGCCATATTTTGTCTTCAGGTTGAACACCTTCCCTAGGACTTCCAAATGCTACCTTTTAGAGGTACTGTTGTAGGTACTTTTTTGTCTACTGTAGGTGTTTATAATACAGCTGCTTCTCTATAAGCTCTACAATCAACATCCACCTTCCAGAAAAGAGTGAAGTTAGTCCTGTGCTCTAGGTTGTCCTACAATTTCTGAAAAGTTTTATTTCCCTCCATTTTTCTGCCTCCTTCTCAGAGCCATTTATAAATTATTTGAGTTACATTTTGAGCTTACCATAATGTTGCTAGTCCCACCCTCTCACTTTCTCTTACCCAGTTCATCTTCATTCTTCAACTTCCCTGGCTGCTCATACTTCCTGACCTTTAAAAATACCCATAATTACCTTATGACACCTTGCCCTGGGGATTTGTTGAAGTGTGGGAAGATGCAGGGAGGATGATTGTACAGAAATGGTATATAAGGTGGGAGATGACACACATACATAACACTTTCCAACTATCTAATTAGTTAAGAAAGCACACAAATTCAGAACTTCACTCATGAATATGACTATTACGTTTCTCCTTTGAAGTTCTTTGTGAAGGAAAAATCTATTTTCCACCAATTTGAAAATGGTCGTAGTTGCCATGGGAGAAATTTCCAGCAAAGCACTAGTTTAAGTGAACAGGAAGTTATTTGTGTGCACCTCCAATACTATGGTTAAATTCTGTAGAATTTGGTTGATTTAGTTTGTCACCTGAGGTACAATGTTGGCTAATTTGGAGGATACAGATTTCTACCTGTAATTTTGAATTATTTTTAGAGGTTTCCCTTTCATAAGGATGTCCTTGAAATGAATTAGGAACCAATTCTGTTTCTGAAGTGGTTCTTTTTGTTTGTGGTGTTTTCTATAATAATTTCAGTTTTCTCAGGGTACGTCTAGACAGGAAAATTTGCAGAAGTATAATTTGCACTTAAAAGGGTCTTGTCTTCAGTGCAATTTATTTTGTCTCTCACAGTCCTTCCATTTGCACTCACTGATGTTTCTTCTCCTGTGATAAGTATTCAGAAAGGTCTTTGGATCACTCTTAGATTTCTTTAAGTCAAAACGCATGTGGATGATGACATTGTTTGATTTGAATCTAACAACACCAAAACCAATCTAAATAGTACGCTATCTGCCCATCTGGATATGCCCTCAATTGCGTTTAGTCACTGCCTAACTATAGTGAGGAGTCTGACCCCTCCTATAATTAAGCTTAAAGGCACTTCTCCTTTGGCAGAAAACCTCATTATTTGGCTATATTTTGGTGCCATTTGGTTTATGGCATCTACCTGTGTTTTGACACAGAGTGATTAGTCCTGTCCCTTTTTAGAGTTGTCCTACGTCTTTTTGGCACAGCAGTAGTGCTACAATTTTGGGGGTGAGAGTTGGCAGACTCCTAATTAGCATGTTCTGTAGCTCATATGGATGATTAGTCTGCACCAAAATAGAGCTGTGGGAGGCATTATTTCAGATGAAAACCCTGTTATGTATTTGATGGATTATGGCACTGAAATGGAAAATGGAGAAACACCTCCCCCTCATTTTCATCTACTTTATCATTTTGAAAATTGCAATACTGTATATCATTTTTGTATTGACACAACACTATTCTAGATAAACAATACTTATGAGCAGTATTATGTGCACCATGCTAGATAGATGCACTGCTGTTGCACTATGTCACTTACTTTAGTTAACCAAAAAAGGAAAGTTAAAGTTGCTGCAGCCTACTAAATGATAGCGGTAGGAAAAGGCAGGGCATGGGACAGGAAAACGAGTGTCATTAATTATAGGGGGACAAATTAGGGCAATACAAGACCTGTCTAGACCCTTTTTGTGTGATAAAAATATCAATCTTTGTGAATGGAAGGATTGCTCAAATGACAGCTAAAATAAATCTCACTAAATATAAGTGTGAACCAGATCACTCAATTTCCCCCCATCTGGGCATGCCCTAGATGCAAATAACTTCAATGAGTACATTTTTCCTCTCTCTGTTGGAGCATGTATCTCCCTTTAATTACTTGTTTCTGTGTTAAATTGTAGATTGTAAATTTATTTATTATTTATTTATTTATTTACAATATTTTTTAGCTGCACCATTGCCAGTGGCTTCTGGGCGGCGTACAACATTAAAACTTAAAAACATTAAAAACATTTTAAGAGACAGTATAAAATAGCATATATTAAAATATTTCTTAAAAGATTAAAATTAATTAATTAAAATGCTGGGTGAAGAGAAAGGTCTTTGCCTGGCGCCGAAAGGCCAAGAGTGTCGGAGCCAGGCGGATCTCTCTAGGGAGGGTGTTCCAAAGTTGGGGGGCAACAACCGAGAAGGCCCTATTCCGACATGCCATCCCCTTCACCTCTTTCAGGGATGGCACCTTCAGAAGGGCCTCCTAGCCTGATCTTAGAGGACGGGCAGGCACATATGGAAGAAGGCGGTCCTTTAGGGACCTGTCTTCTCATATTTTGCAAAGCACTGTGTAAATTGATAAAACAACAACAACAAATTAAAAAGCACAGTAGAATTTAGTGTCAGTTGACCTCCCAGTGACTAGCATCAATATGCATATATTTGAGCTACAGAATTTAAACAAGTCAGAGAATTCAGCTTGTGCTCCTCCACATGTATGATATCAACATGGATTATTTATTTATTTATTTATGATTTTAAGCACAAATTACACAGGATTTTGTAGTTAGCAACTTCGCAGGAATCAACATCATACAGTAATACAACCTCCCCTCATTTTGGTGGGGGTGTCTTGCTTGGTTGAACTCACTTTTCCACCTGGTAAGCCACAGCTCCTCGCTGGAAGTAGGCTGCTGCCAAGTGTTTGTCGTTGCTGATGCTCCTGGTAAAGGCCTGCATGAAGTAGAAACAGAGCTTGAACACAATCATCTCTTTTCCAAAGTATCCCCAGAGCATATTCACTTCTGTTAATTGTTCCTCTTGATTTGTTAGCTACTGTAGCCAGAAGAGAGACAGACAGGGCTCAGAAACTCATAGATCAGACCCGCACTAGACCCATTAAACTGTAATCAGCAGCCATGTAGGGTTGCTTTCAGAAGGAGTCTGAGAACGATCCTATTGGGTGCCTCTGCCATCCTGCCAGAATGTGTGTGTGTGTGGGGGGCTTCTGGCTGAGGTTAGAAAAGTTACACTACTTTTTTGGCCCAAACTGATTGTTGACCATGCTGGCTGGGAGATTTTTCCAAAAGTATTTTTCCATCAAGCTATGGGCAGGCCACCATGTAAGGCTGCCACCTGCACACACTCCACACTCTTTTGCTGGCCTGCCACAACCAAGTTACTACCAAGCGACCAGTGCTCAGTAATGTAAGCAGTTACTGGTGTCAGCAATGTCAGTGGCCTCTACAGTCTGCCAAGCTTCTCCCATCCCCTGTCTTCATTACACCTGAGAGCTACCAGGCAAGGAACAATGTTTCTAAATTCAGAAGTTAGCAGCTCTGCAGTACCATAGAACTCTGTTTGAGCAGGCATAACACTGATTGTCTGGTCCCACCTCCACTGGGCTTTGGAACAGAGAGTACTGTGGTCACTTTGGCAGATGACTTCTCAGAGGCTTTTAATATAACTGACCATGGAGTTCTGTTGGTCCATCCGACTAGGTTGGACTCTACACCGTCCCTGTATTTCCAGTGGCAGTGGTGATGAGAAGCACTCCAGCAACACTCTGCTTAGTGTGCCACCTGCCACTTCTGCTGACTTGCTCTGACTTCCCGATAGTCATTGCTCCTTTATTTACACCATGCCTTGACTACTACAACATGCTATATGTCTGGATGCCATTGAAGAGGGCCCAGGACCTTCAGTTCCTACAATACTCAATAGCTAGCTTGCTAAATAAGTGCAACATGTCAAGATCATATGACCCTGATACTGAAAGCTGTCCTCTAATTGCCAGTGTTTTACTGGGCCCAATTAAACAACTTGGTTTTAATCTTCCTAGACCTAAACAGTTCGAACCTTAACTATCTAATTGGCTGTGTGCCTCATTATGAACCCCTCTCATGTTTAGATGGCCCTTTGAGAATACTGTCATTGTTACGATGAGCAGGATTGTTGTCTATTAAGTCATTCAAGAAGCTAAAATAATTGCAAGAAAACAATGCAGAAGATTGACCCAAATGACTTAAAAAGACAAGCGTGATCATGACAGGGTAAATTACCACAGAAAAGATTTGGAAAAACAAAAGTGACATAGACAGTGACAAAGTGGAAATAATGTACTTTAAAATCACTGATATTCTGATTGGAAATGGATTTTTTTAAAAGTATGAAGTAATCACTAAAATGGAATCTGTTGATAACTTGACCTTTGAATAAGGAAAGATGCTTTGCTACCTAGAAATAATAGTCCTGTGGCTAAGAAGATCTTACAAAAACTGAGTGACACAAATGTATTTCAAGCCATTCAATTCTAGAAGTATTAACTTCTAGCTTTGGTCTGCGACACAAATATATGAGATGCAAACCTTTCAGTTCTCACCTAAGTCACTCAGCTGAAGGATTTGCAAGTGATCATAGCTTTGCAGGGGGCGAGAGGAAGGAGTGTATGCTTACAAAAAAAAAGTACAAGTAACATTTTCGACAAATGTTAAACTCCATTAGTCATCCACTTTCTGAATTACACTGACGAGATTCTTGGATTGAGCTAATGGGATTTTGGATTGCAGAACTACAAACAGCTGGTGCATGTATGGGCACTGGGGTTTATGGGAAGTATGAACATGTATCTGAATGTTTTAATATGGGAAAAAAGTTCTCCTCCACATAATAACTACAGTAGTACCTCAGTGAAAAGGTTAACCTGAACCTGGCCAGCAGAGGTGGTGCTGAAGGCTTCTGAGAATTGTAGTCCAAGAATATCTGGAGGCCCAAGGTTGAGGACCACTGCTCTACAGCACTGGTTCTTAACCTTGGGTTACTCAGGAGTTTTGGACTGCAACTCCCAGAAGCCTTCACCACCAGCTGTCCTGACTGGGGTTTCTGGGAGTTGCAGTTCAAAAACATCCAAGTAACAAAGGTTAAGAACCACTGCTCTACAGCATATCTAACAATGTTTCTAAGATGAAGGGAAGAATTGCACAATACTTGGTGGCAAATTGCTCTTCGTTAATGAGGTGCTAGCTTTATTCTTTATTGGGAAAGGAGTACGACAAGGCTGTATATTGTCTCCCTGCTTATTTAACTTATATGCAGAATACATCATGCGAAAGGCCGGACTGGAGGAATCCCAAGCTGGAATCAAGATTGCCGGAAGAAATATCAACAACCTCCGATATGCAGATGATACCACTCTGATGGCAGAAAGTGAGGAGGAACTAAAGAACCTTGTAATGAGGGTGAAAGACGAGAGTGCAAAAAACGGTCTGAAACTCAACATCAAAAAAACTAAGATCATGGCCACTGGTCCCATCACCTCCTGGGAAATAGAAGGGGAAGATATGGAGGCAGTGACAGATTTTACTTTCTTGGGCTCCATGATCACTGCAGATGGAGACAGCAGCCACGAAATTAAAAGACGCCTTCTTCTTGGGAGGAAAGCGATGACAAATCTTGACAGCATCTTGAAAAGCAGAGACATCACATTGCCAACAAAAGTCCGAATAGTTAAAGCTCTGGTTTTTTCTGTTGTGAAATGTTTCTAAGATGAAGGCAAGAATTGCACAATACTTGGTGGCAAATTGCTCTTCGTTAATGAGGTGCTAGCTTTATTCTTGGCTATGTACTTGATTGTGTGCTCTGGAATCCAACCTGCACCTTGTTAATGAACAGCCATTTTCCACAAAGACATATGTAATTTCTCTTGTGAAAACATAAATCAGCAATAGAATTCTGGCCAAAGGAAATCATTCTAGAGATTTGTTACTCTTTTCCTGACAAATCTATGGGTGATGATGTAAAAAAAAAATCTAGTATATTCTGTTTGTTCCTTTGTTGTTATTGTTGTTCCATTTAAATGTTTGCTAGAGTTTATTATGCTTTTTGTACACACACACACACACACACACAGAGTAAACTGCACAGATATGTTGTGGCAGCACATAATATCCATGGTATGTTCACAAACCATTACACTGTTTTGAAGAAGAAAAAAAGAATTCTGGGGGGAAGTGCAGACCTCTGTGAGCTGTAATATTCCCTTTCTCTTTGATTTAGAAGCTACCCCATCAATGCAATGCACTATTCTGGGTGGTTCACAAAATAATAAAATAAAGTAACATATAACAATAAATGTATATCTGAACAGTAACAAAAATTCAAACAGTCAAAGAATTGAAACCAATAGCACCAAAAGCACATTATCTCTGTACTTATCAGTTACAGAAAGTCACACAAATCATTGCCGACCTAATAATGGGGACAACAGTTGTCTCTTTTCAGATTGCTTCTTGCTAATAATAATTTTCTAAGTATAGAGTACTGTATTCTGAAATAGTTTACTATTCCCTTCTTTTGGGGACACTTTGGGACTGCACATCTCGCCCAAAGCCACAAAGGTTAGCACTTTTCCTGGGAGACACAGTGGAGAATTTAACTCCCAACCTCTGGCTACCAATTCTTAATAGTTCTGTGGATGAATCCTCACTACCTACCAAAGTTCAGCTGTTGGTATTGTTAGGCCGCATTGGGGAAGAATTTTAGAACTTGGCCACTTACCTGCTGGGCCTCATCCAGATTTCCCAGGATCAGGTGGATGCAGCCAATGTTAAAGCAGATTTTGGAAGATGGATTCTGAACAGAAGTGAAGGCTGCCAGGGCGGATGCCCAGTCTTTACGATCTGCTGCAGACACTCCCTCACTCCAGAGCCGGATAGTCTCAACCAGCGCCATGGCAAAACTGCTACCTTGGCATATAATTCAGGCACAGGTAACTTTCTTCACACTGCTGCTCCTTATCTCAGCTCACCAGGCCTTTTGCTCTTGTACACACAGCCAATATGTTCTGCATTGTAAGTCTAGTCTCTGAAAACTCCTCAGTGTCGCAAACACACCAGGAAGTGCCTCTGCTTAACTAATAACTGAAACAGGCCAGCTTCAAGAAGGGAAGTAATATAATACAGGGTGGTTGAAAATGAAGCCCTTTATTTAAACAAAGCACTCTCTGTGAATTCCTGCCCGAAACTGTTGCACTTTCTGGTATTTACTCCTCTCCATCCAGCTGCAGTTATGCTTTTAAAAAAAAAAAATTTTTTTTTTGCTTGTCACAGAAATTTTAATATAAAATCATGAGGCTGGCCTCAGCAGAAAGCTGTAAACACATTAGTAGGTGATGCAGGAAGATTTTCCTGTTTGAAAAATCAGTCTTCAAAGAAATCATGGGCTTTTAAGTCCTGAAGACCCATCAGGAAACAAAGGAAGCTAATTTGAGAGTTACACATGAGGCAAGAAAAGCCCCTGAATTTCAGAAATGCCCTCTCCTAATGACATGCAGTTATCAGTACCATCTGTTTCTGTTGCTTGAGAGGCACTACAGAACAGCTGTGAATAGAAGGCTCTTGCACAGTAGTCCAAGGGAATACAGTATATGTTAACCATGTTCCAGCTGTTTAACCAGCTTCCCATTTCCAGTAGATATAATCCCTTAACCTTGTGGGTTAAATGTACACTGAACTGTCTCCGTATCAATGTAGTTCACATAATTATTTGAGTCATTTCCCCCCTCCTGTTTTAACTTAGAAGACAGAGAAGGTAGAAGAGCTATGCATGCAGGAGGAACATAGGTTTGATGTCATAGACTAAGATAAAAAGTAGGCCCTGTGTCTGATAAATTTGAAGGCAAGTAATTAATGGGCATGTTGTTGATGGTTGTAACCTCAAGCAAGCTGCAAGATAAGCTTATTTGTTTATTTCTAGCATGTCACTCCACTCTTCAACTGAAGAGGCTCTCAGAGCAGCTTGTAGATGGAGGGAAAAAGAAAAAACGCAGTTCTTGCCTGCAGGTTTACAGTTTGAGACTTGGGGAAAAAAACCCAGAAAATAAATGGTTAGGGATGAGGGACATTTGAGAAGCAGTTCTTGGAGTTTGCAAAGTTCCTGTAACCAATCAACAGGGGGAAACAGGGAGGTTTTCTCAATATTGTAAGACATGTGTGATAAATAAGGGGATCTGAAGTGACAGTTGCCTCTTTTCTGTATAGCTAGATAGCCACACACTTGCCACCTGATCTCCTCAACAAGCATTACAGTACTGTATTAATGTCTAGTATTTAAAAGTTAACCAAAATTTAAATGTGTGCTTCTCAAATCCTAGAATGCTCTGGGTTTTTTCCCCCAAGTCTTATCACTTTAAATGTTATCAGTGTGTTGGTTAAAGTGTTGAGAACTACAGTAGCTATATCAATTCAAAGACTATCCCTTATCCATCGCTACTATTCTATTGTGTTTAACTGCAGCAGCTAAAATTGAATGGGCTACAGTGGTGTCTCGCTAGATAGTTACCCCGCATGACAGTTTTTTCGCTAGACACTGGCTTTTTGCGATCGCTATAGCGATTCGCAAAACAGTGATTCCTATGGAGGAGTTTCGCTAGACAATGTTTGGTCCCTGCTTCGCAAACCGATTTTTGCTAGACAATGATTTTGACATCTCCCTCCGCGCTTGCAAACAGGTGTTTTCGGGACCTAAGCTTCGCAAGACAGCGATTTAAACAGCTGATCGGCGGTTCGCAAAGCGGCTTTCCTATGGCCGATCTTCGCTAGACAACGACGATTCCTCCCCATTGGAATGCATTAAACAGGTTTCAACGCATTCCAGTGGGGAAACGCTTTTCGCTAGACAATGATTTCGCTAAACAACAATTTCAGTGGAACAGATTATCATCATCTAGCGAGGCACCACTGTATTTATAAACAGGGTACTGTCTGAGGACAAATAGTATATGGTTTCCCCCACCTCACCTAAAAGTCCTTAAGCATGTAAAGTAAGCCAAATTATATTGGCACTCAAGGCTGAGAATCCTAGTAGCCTTATCTTCAAACGTGGCAGTAAAAATGTAATGCAAAGAAAATAACTTTACACATTTCTTCCTGAAATAAAAGAAAACTAATTTTTATCAAGTGTACCCCCTGAAATGTTTCCATGGAACATTGTACCATACTACCTTAGGGGAACTCTGACTGGAGCAAAGTTGCTTCATGTGACTGCATCTGAGGGAAATTGAGATTCATCACATTCTCCATTTAGTCTTTCTACAACTGCTCCAGGGGCTCAGTCTGTTAGAGGACATTCTTCCCTAGAGACGCTATTAACGAAGGCCATACTTGCCAACCAAAATCGTCTGTGACCCTAACCCACACGCATCTCCCGCTGTGCCACACCTTTATCATTCAGCAACTTAACAGCTTAGTCAATAAGGAGGAGGAAGATGAACAACTACATAAATCTCTGGTCCGTGTTATAATTCATACACATTATTGTTATTATACTGAACTGCACCCATCTGAACCTGAATCTCCCCAAACCCAGACTAACACTATTCAGTTCTGCACTGTACAGTACTAGTTATGGAACTGTATTACAATCTTAGAACTGCAGAGCTGGAAGGGACCCTAGATCGTCGAGTCCAGCTCTTGTCAAGGAGGCACCGTGCAGAACTGAATTCCCAACTTCTGCCTCTGCAGTCAGATACCTAAACCACTTATAACAACAACCCTTTAAGGCAGGCCAGTGTTAACCAGCCCCATACTACAGACTGAAGCTGAAATAGGAAGTGCATTGCTGGAGTGAGATGTCAGGGAAAGGCTTTCTGGCTCACAGCTCAAACTCTTCGCAACAATATTAAACACAGAGCTTTAACAGTTTGCTTAGTCTGAGGCAACAGTTTCCTATGAGGCAAGAACTCTTCTCATTTTCTCCTTTTGTGGGTTGCTTCTTTATTCAACAGATGTCCTGTGTGACTAAATACCATTTATAGCACAAATTTCCTTCCCTAAAGCATTCTACCATGACTGGAGAATGAGAACTCTGTCAGGCTGGACTGTCAAGTGAGAGTCTCATGGCCCACATTTCACCAAAGACAGACATGAACAACCCATGATAATCTCCCTTCAGTTTAGCTAGGGAAATGATTAAGACAGCGGCTCTTAAACTTTTCTTTACCATGGACCCCCTTTAAATCTCTCTCTTTTCTGCCACGGACCACAAAGACTTAACTCAAGATTTAAAATTCTAAAATGCATGAAATATTTATTTAAAGTTTCTCATAAACTGTCTCATCAACAAATATTCCTTGCTATAATAAACAGTCTCATCGACAAATATTCCTTGCTATAATGCTGATACTTTTTAAGATGGCTGGCAGAAGCTTCATTTTGCTTTGAACAGGATGCACCCTCATCAACAGCATCAGTTCTTTTACATTTCACTTTCAGCCAGCGATCCATTCTGAGGCGCTCATCCAAAATGTAGTTATGAAATTCACCATGATAATATTGAAAAGCCACTTTACCTGATAATAACCAAACTGTTTTATTAGCAGAAGTCAAAGGAAAAAAAACACAATCACAAAGTCTGTCCGAACACTCACTCACACTGACTCCGGCTCTCTCTTCCTGTGGCTTTCTTTCTGTCACGTGCTGTCCCTCAGCTGCTCAGAGTCATTCACTTGCATGTTCTCACCTGTGTAGAAATATCAAACGGTTATTTGCTATCAAGCAGTTATTTTTATATCCAACTGTTACTTTTGTTTGTTTTTAATGGAGGTGGTAGGTTAGAAAAACCACATTTTACACAAACAAGTAAGGGAAATTAATATTTTATTCTATTTCCTTTTCTTTTTCTTTCTTTTTCTTTCTATTTTAGCTGGAAAAGATCATAACATTTCTTCAAGCCTTCACAGACCCCCTGTGAGGACATCGTGGCCCCCTGGGGGTACATGGACCACAGGTTAAGAATCTATGGATTAAGAGATCTGAATGCACTGTTAGGTCGTGTTATTTTCTCTAAAGCAAATTCTCCGAATTTCTACTTGCTTAAAACAGCAACCCATTTAGATGATACAGGATTTGCCTGCTTACATTGGATGGTTGCTAATTTGACCATGACCAGCATTAGGCTTGAGGGAGGGCCTGGTCAAGTACTGTCAGGTGCTCCCCATCAAAAGGTTTATCTGCTAGTGGTAAAAGCAGCAGCTGAGAATTAACACTCAGTCCAGCCCTTTTTGTTCCTCCGGTGACTTTTTTCTCTCTACTGTTGTGGGGCTTCTACCTTTTTGAGCTGGAACAATTCAAACAGCCTTTCTCCCATGTGGTTAGTTGTGATACATTCTTCCAAAGGCACAAGGCATATCTGGAGGTAATGTTTTAGTGACAGAGGCAATTGGGGGTGTGATATTCAGGGCCAGGGGAAACGCCCCCCCTCACGTTGCATTCTTTCCTCTCCCCCAATCATCCCCCGTTTTTAAAAATTGTTTTTTAAAAAATTCTTACATATACGAGATTAGTTCTAGATAACCTCATATATGTAAAAAATTTACATAGATCATTTTATTGCTGGGCCATCATCATGAACATTTCTTGTATTTATTATCTTGTCAGTTTCCCATCAGATCAGCAGAGGTGTGACCAGAGGAAGGAAGGATTTTGGCAGAGGCAAAACCAGAGGAAAGAAGGGGCTGTGGACTGGAATGTGCGTTGCATCACATCCAGTATGAGCGATGAACTCCCAAATAAATCCTCAGCTCCTGCGAGCAATTTCAAACATAAGTAGCAAATCAAATCACACTGATTCAGTTTTTCCATGTACAGTAGTTGCACCTGGAGCTGGTGCAGTTGACTTCTGCTTTCAAAAGGGGAAGAAGAAGGTATAAAGGATCTTTCTTTCTTTCTTCACTCCTGAGAGCCAGTGGTTAATTTTTTTTATTAAAAATTCAAAGTACTAAAAACTTCAGGTTTTGAATTTTTCTCTTATTCTCTCATTTAGAGATAGGATATTTGTTTCCAGGGCCTTTCAACCCTCCTCCCAGAGCCGTCTGGTCCATTCACCGGACTTTGCATGGCATGCTTGGCCATCACCATTAACATTGCACCAATCATGGAAGTACCCTGGCTGGCATTTCCCCATCTCCCAGTGCTGCTGACTACTCAGCAGCTGAGTAGAGAGACTCGTCATCCTGCCTCCTCTCCGGAGTGGCCAGCAGCGCAGGGAGGTGGGGAAGTGCCAGCTGGGCTACTTCCATGATTGCCACAATGTTACTGACAATGACTGCATGCACCACACAAAGTCTGGTGAGTGGATCAGGTGGTTCTGCAGGG